CTGCTGAGGGGAGCAGCGGGCGGGTCAGGAGAGGTCTGCCACGCCATGTGGTCACCTCCGGAGCAGGCGGGAATCGAACTCATGCGGAAGTGGCTTTAGATTCTTAGTGCTGTGCTTTAACCCGCTGCGCCACCAGGGAGGGCCCCACTATATTTGAAGTTTTTAAGCATTAAAAATAAATTACTAAAAATTCTATGATCCCATTCCTACATTGTAACAAATTAATACTCAGTTGTGTATCTTTCCATACTTGCTTTATGCACATACATCTAAGTCTAATATTTATTTGGGAGTAGGCAAATTTTATGTGTTTTCACTAAAGTATACTCGCATGGTCCTCTGCAGTTTTGTTTTATATTATGTAATATACCATACACATTGCTTCAGGCCTTTGCATTCTCATGCATAAGAAGAAGTCTAGATACTTATTAGCTACATGAAATGTAAAATCAAACATGTGAATGGCAAAGGTCCTCGTAAGTCAAAATCAGATTGGTGAAATATAATCAAAATAGTTGTGATAAAGTTACTTCACCTATACAAAGAGTTCTTACAGTTGACCAGGAAAAAAAAAAAGCAGTGGGACGATAGGCAGAGCACCTGAGCAGGTAGCTCTGTGTCATTAATTGGATTTTTATTTTGAATGAACAGCCTCATTCAGAACTCAAATAGGTACAGATTACTACAGTTTTGTCTAGTGCTTCCTTGTTGCTGGCAGGGTTGTGAAGAAATAATCTTTTGGGACAAAAATCTTAGTGTTACCCAGTTATTTGAAATGAGAAACCACACTCATGGGATTTCCCCCACAGCAGTAAAAACACCAGCACAAATGGATACAAGGAAAGAATGTGCCACGTGCTGTAAAGTTAGTATTGGGGGCGGACTGGCCAGGAGTAGCAAGAATATGAATAGGGGCATGGCTGACTAAATCTACATGTAGCCATACTTTGAAATAATACTGAGTTTTTAAAACAGAATTTAATTAGATCTACAAATATTATTATAGAAGTTTGTATTTTTTTCTTGTCCTCCTGTATTCCTTTTTTATTTGTAATAAAAATTTCTTCCCTGTATTTATAATCAACTGCATTTCATTCTTAATAAGCAAAAAGAAAAAGTTATGTATATAACCGTGTGTGTAGAAATAATGTTCATGAGCATATACAACATCTATAAAGTTATGTTTTAAGTTGTTAGATGACATTTCTTTAGACTTGAAATCAGAGTGCTCCTTCATCTCTGCCTGTCACTCATGAGTGCTCAATAAGTGTGTGCTGAGAATGCTAAATGAGGTGGACAAAGCTCTATTCTCATTCCTTAGGTCTGTGAACAGTTAATTTATGTCATGCTCTTTTTCTATTCCTGTTCTTCTCTATGTATTCCAGAATTTTGAGGTGGGTTTTTTTTTTTTTTTTCTGAATTTAATATGAAGGGGAAAAATTGTATGGCATTTACATTTGGGGTTCTGAGAAACTGCAGTACTTTGAAGATAATCTAATATAAGTAAAGAGTTGCAGTAATTTAGCTAGAACATAATTCATGCTGTACTTACTAATGATTTTACTAGGTAGATGCCCAAGTCAGAGAAACTATCAAACTCATGTTTTCTGGTGATCAGCAAGATGGCTTTTTTGAATGGCTGCTTCAGAAGTTTTCTTCTCAGTTTGTGAGCAAAGATGACCTTCAGATTTTATTACGAGATTTAGAGCTGCGGATACTAAAGAACATTACCCACCACATTTCTGTGACAAAACAGATCCCAATTTCTGAAACTGTGGTGTCTGCTATGAATGAGGCAGGAGTTTCTGGAATAACAGAAGCAGTAAGTAGATGTGAAAAGTGTTTAAAATGTAGCAGTCTTATTAAGTTAGCCAATTCTGATGTCTTATTCTAAGAATGGTGTCAGGGTGTGGTTATAACATAAAAATTATTGGTATAATTCAGATGCATGAAAGTGATTGTTCATTAAGTTGTTGGGAGAACTGTATACTTTATTAATCTTGTTTTTTTATTGATGCAACATTCATTTACAGTGCTCCATATTACTTAGTAGTCTAAGATCATACCCTTCAGGTGTATGTTACCACACCATACCCACTAGCAATATTAACCTTTTTGTTCCAAAGAACCCTTCTACTGGGTGGCCATATACTTTCTGAAATTACTCAAATTTCCTAGTAATACAGTTCCAACTTAATAGCCCTTGTTCTATCCACCTAGGTAGCACATAGGTGGTTTCTAGTTCAGAGTATGTTGTGGCTATGTCTGATCCTTGGTGAGAAGGCTTAGTTCTGTTCCTCATCTCCATCTGGTGGCATAGCACTTGGGATGCAGGACTGAAGTTTGGAATTGCTAAAATACCCCCATGGCTATTTCCCCCCAAATGTAGTTAGCTAAAAATGTGTTATTACTAGAAATGACTGGCCTTTGTTTACATCATTAACCCATATTTATCTCTCCCCTTCTGGTGTTTGGTCTTCTACTTTGTGCGTGCCTCTTTTTAGCAAGCACATGTCATTGTAAACAATGCTTTGAAGCTGTATTCCCAAGATAAAACTGGCATGGTGGACTTTGCTCTGGAATCTGGTGGTAAGTAAATAAGGATGACTTTGCTGCCATATGTGCTACAGAAAATCTTAGTTTTCTGAATTTTTAAAATTTAGGAATTGTAGTTGAGAGTTGGTGGACTAACAGTTTTTCAGAGGAAAGGATTTTTTAAAATATACTTCAGTGTATAAAATATTTTACAGGAGAGTTGGTTATTTAAAATTCCACAGTCTATATCATCCCAGTGGTTTAGTAAGTCTGGTGATAGGGTTTATATCAGGAGTCTCATTCCTGTGACCACTGTAGCAGTGAGCCTGATGCCCTGTCTTTAACCATTTTATGGGATCTTAACAGGGTGGATTTGAATGACTACTACATGAAAAAACTAACAAATGCTTAGGTATATATCAATAAGACAGTTGTTCTCAATGTATATTTTGTTTAAAATAACTTAATTAGAATATTAAATGATTTTAGTTACGTAGTTTAAATTATTTTTAATCAGAACCATGAAGTTATATTTAACCATTAAATTGTGAGCAATAGTTTTCATTTCTTCTTAGGAACATAACTAGTCCTTATAGATTTGTATATCACTAATTCAGAATTCTATAATCTTAATGGAACTGAAATTTCTATTACTAAACAAAGTGAGCCATATTTAAAGGATTTTTTTTAGAATGAAAATTGAATATTTTTTCAAATTCATATTTCAGAAATCAGATCTCTTGTTTTGCCTAATCAAAATCATCTTTTCATGCTTATAGTGTAAGTTTCCAGCTGTTTAACCTCTCCACACATTACCGAATGCGAAATCCTAAATAGGAGCCCAAGACTAGACATTGCAGCAGCTCTGAGGGGTTGTGGTACAGGCCAGCTTTAGGAACCATTGCCTCTTAGAGTACTAACTTTTCAGGAGTTTACATTTTTGTTTGTATTTTATTTTTTGTTGTTACTTCAACTACAGTTTGTTTTGGGCCTGCTTTGGCACCAACACCCTGTCTGCCCCGTTTCCTATTGAAAAAACTGAACTTCTTTTTAAGCATGCTGTTACTATTGAGGTACAATTTACAATAACACAAACGACCATTATTAAAGTGTACAGTTCTGGGTGGGGGAGTTGGAGTATGGTAAGGGCTGGGTGAATAGATGGAAGTAAAATTTCCAGTTATACAGATTCTGGGGATGTTATATACAGTATGGTTACAATAGTCAGCAAATACTGTATCTAGTATTTTAAAACTGATTCATAAGAAGAAAACTTTAACTATAAGGTGATGGTTGTTAACTTGTAGTAATCATTTCAGTATATTCATATATAAACTTCTCATACACCTTAAATTTATACACTGTTTTCTAAGTTCTTTTCTCCTCAATAAAACTGGCGGAGAAAAGAAAAATTACATACAAGTCAGTTGTTTTTAGTATATTTACAGTGTTCTTCAGTAAACACCACTATTTAATTCCAGAACATAAATACAAACTTGCCTATTATTAGATACTCCTACCTCCCCAACAACTGATTATTTTAATATTTTATCATTTTTGCCTGTTAAGCAGGCACTTTAAAAACTCAACTCCAGGTGATACCTATGCTGTTTGGATGCATTATTTTATTTGAAAACATAGACAGTACATTTAAGTTTCTTTAGAGTTGCTGTCTGTATACTGTGTGTGTGGAGACAGTATTTTAAGAATCTCTAGTTTTAGTAAACACAAAACGTGTATATAAAACAATTATATAAACCATTAATTGCATTTGGGAAAAGTAAAGAATGGGACTAATCTTAAAGTAGAAGTTTCTTTGTAAAAGTTGAAAACTTTAAATAAATCCCAAAGATGGCATGATACTGTTTCCAAAATGATAGAATTAGATGCTGAAACAAATTTAAATTCTGCTTTAAGGTGGTAGTATCCTAAGTACTCGGTGTTCTGAAACGTATGAGACCAAGACCGCATTAATCAGCCTGTTTGGCATCCCTCTGTGGTACTACTCCCAATCTCCTCGAGTCGTCATCCAGGTAAGAGTTGCTGCACCTCACATGTGCCTTGTGGTTGCCACACGATTGTTGAGGACCTAAGCAGAAATCAAAGTGTCAGTGATAAATTCAGTGGTTTGTGGGTTTTTTTGTAAGCCCTTAATAAGGTGTAAAATACATTCAGAAAAGTGCAAATCATAATAAGTACATGGTGCAGTGAAGTCTTATAAACTGAATGCATTTGGAACTAGTACAAGACCAAGAGACAGTATTCCAGCACCATCAGGCTCCCCATCCTTTTCTCACCTCAGAGAGTGACTTCTGACACCATCTGTTCTATGTGTGCTGAACTTGGTACCGAGAGATTATATGCCATGTCTTCAGGGTGTTGGGTTTTCACCCCCCTGGTCTGTGAAGTCCACTGTGTATTATGATCAGTTAAGAGTTCACTATCAACAGTGAAGGATCCTGCTATGAGATTATAGGTAGTACTTTCTCAGTTTTTAAAATAGAACAGATAGAGATAAGCATATATTACCACTAACAAGATCAACTTCCCATTTAAAAAGTATACTTGTCACACAGTCCCTAGTAGGATTGGAGGGACTTTGAGTTCTCTTTCTCTGGTGCCTTTTGTTGACTGTTCTCAGCATACATTGCTGCTTATCTGTGATTATTTTATAGGTCATCATACTTCAGAACTAAAATGCAGCTTGATTTCTTTTTAAAGAAAATTCAGTTAATTTCCTTTCATGCGAAACACCCACATGATAATTCTTTCATTTAAAAAATACCAAGTCTTGTCAGAAATGTAAGTTCAGCATGAAATGTCAGGATACTTAAATTTTAGGATCCTCTCTACTATTTTATAATTATGTTGTCCCTTTTTTTTTGCCCAGCTGAAGCATCTGATAGGCTTTCCTTCAACTATCAGCATTTGTCAAACTTAGGAAGCTATCTGTAGTAGGGTGCTAACCACCACAGAATGGTGGCAGAATCCCTGGAATTACTCATCATTGTAGACCTACGTGGATTCGGCCAGCAGGTCCCGCTACCTCCAGTTCATGGGTTCCTTTTCTCTGCTTTTATAGATGCCAACAGAACTCCTCCAGGATACTCTTCTAGCTGTGCTGTGTTTCCTGCTCTGTATCATGACATAGTTGGGAGGTCTTGATAGTCCTGACATTCCCCCAAACTGTCACATTAATCTGTTACCATTGTGCCAACTGGATTTGTAACTGGGAAGCAGCACGTACTTTAGATGTCTTAGACATCTGTGAACAAGAGTGGGAAACAAGCCCACTCTTCAGGAGAAATTATGCAGTAATTTTGAATGGGGAAGTAGTCAGTCAGTCATCATCATGGGATTGGAGTGACAGCTGATTGGGTAAAGAGAATTTAAAAGGATATAGTAATAGCAAATGTCAGACCTCATTCACAGACCTGTGAATGAGGTCTGGCACCCATGGCTGCGACCTGACTTCCGTGTAGGGGCACAGGTGTGGCTCGCTGAACGCTGAGACGGTGTTGCCTCACTCTATGTTGTGGGCACTCCGATGGGGCTGCACAGCTCCTGAGCCTCTGCCATAGGTCTCCCACTGTTCACTCAGCCAGACTCCTGCCAGTAGGGGTGTAGCTCCTCTTTTGGTATTAAATGTCATTTTGTACTTTTGCCCACCATCCTTCCTTAGTGAGGGGAGTGGAATTACTAGGTCAGAGAGTGAGTGCATAAGCAGTTCTGCCTAAATATGCTTCCTGCGGTGGGACATTTTGCATATTCACCAGTAGTGTATGAAAGTGCCTATCCTAACAACATCAACTGCAGATTTTGCCTGACTTTTGGATTATTGTCATCCTGTTAGGAGAGAAATGTTAACACTGTCACTTGACTTTGTATTTCTTTTGTTATTGTGTAAGGTAGAGCATGTTTTTATTTAGTGTTTGTATGTATTGTCCATTTTTCTTTTAAGGTTCTGATTATCTTAATTCTTATAAACTTATATACTGGTGATAGTAACTCTTTGGAATTTAACTTGTAAAAATGCCTTTCCCAGTTTGTCTTTTATGATTTTTTTACCTTGCAAAATTTTTTTTAAGAAGTTAACATCAGTCTTTTCTCTTACTAATGTTTTTTTAAGTGATAAAGGGGTCTTTATTTGTTCATTTTGCTTTTTCCCTTAGCCTGACATATATCCAGGTAACTGCTGGGCATTTAAAGGCTCCCAGGGTTACCTTGTGGTGAGACTGTCGATGACCATCTACCCCACCACCTTCACTCTGGAGCACATCCCAAAGACACTGTCACCCACGGGGAACATCACCAGTGCGCCCAAGGATTTCATGGTCTATGTGAGTGTCCTTATTCCTCAGAGACACCTTTCCTCCCTCATTCTATCCTGGGACTCTTCCCAAAGATAAACCATGCTAATATTGATGACTCCAGTGTAATTTACTGGAGGAGTTTCCCTTTCTCTGTGTAACACACTGAGTAAGCAAACAGAATGTCTAAGGAAAACTTTTTCTAGGTTGGGTAACCTGTAATGCCTGTGTTAACTTAAGTCCAAATTTGTTTGTGTTAACAGATCAAGGTAAGCCTGTGAAGAAATCAGTTTCTTTATTTCTCGTCTGCTGGCTATAAAGGCAGTTCTCAAAACTCAGATGTTGAATTTACAGAAAGAATAAGGAAGCTGAAAAAAGACATTCAGAATTCTAGCATGTAGAAAATCATCATTCATATTGTAGCATTTTTTTGTCTCCTGTTTTTCTCTCTAAAATACAGTTGTTGGCGCCTCCCTGGTGGAGCAAGGGGTTAAGTCTCAGCACTGTCAAGCTATCAGCAGCCACTGCAGCATGTTTGATCCCCAGAAGTTTGGGGGGCAGGGGATGAAAGGATTCACCAGAGACAGAGTGGGAAACAGAACAAATACACTGCTGAGGAGAGCAGTGGGAGGCACAAGAGAGGTGTTCTTTGCCATGTGGGTCACCTCCCTGGCTGGGGAATCCAGCTGCTGTTACATTGCCTGCAGATAGCTTCATAGTGCTGCACTTTAACCCATTGCACATCCAGGGAAGGCTCTAGTGTCCTTTTTTTTTAAATCCTGTTAACTTGATAAGCAAAAACATGCCATTTTAGTCTATATTTCTGTGTATTTTCCTTGCATGTTTCCTTTTTGTAGATTCTGGATTTGTTTTTATTCATTTATCTTTTGGGATCTTAGTTCCCTTATAAATATTTGAGCTTCTTACTCTATAAATGTTAATTGTGTAACTTTATTACAGAGATAGTTCCCATTGTTAGTCATAATTATGTATTTAATTATATCTGCACATTAGCTATTGGCTCTTCTTCCATGCCATAGTTCTTTTGTGCCATGGTCCTTAAGCATTATGAAATAAGACATTCAAAGTCACCTATATTTTTAATTAATTTTTACTTTATTGTGGCAAATATACATTATATAGCACTTAACATCTTAACCACTGCTAAAAGTAGAGTTCAGGGACATTAAGTACATTTACATTGTTGTGCAACAGTCATATCACCCATCTTCAAAATCTTTTCATCTTCCCAAACTGTACTTCCTTGCACGTCTCCCTTCTGTCTGTGTAAGTGGGCCTCCGGGTACCTCTTTCTGCTGGCCAGCTCTCATTATTAGGACTCCTCAGATGGCTGAGTACCAGCCATTTCAATATGCTGATATTTGGAGTGTTGAAGGCTATGGTGAACTGCAGTTGGCAGTCACTGCTCTGTGACTTGATTTGTCTGTGTTCATCCTCAGCTTTCCTTATCTATACCATACCAGATTGTTGTGAATTATGTAAAGCCATTAAACAGTGCTCAGCAGGACCCTCCCTGGTGGCGCACTGGGTTAAAATTGCAGCACTGCAATCTAGCCACAGCCGAGTTCAATTCCCGACCCCAGAGGTGATCCACATGCCGCGGCAGACCTCTCCTGGCCCACCCACTGCTCCCCTCAGCAGTGTACTTTGTCAGTCTGCCTGTTCTGCTCCCCTCTGTCTCTGGTGAATCCTCTCACTGCCCCTGCATCTCTGGCCTGTACCCCAGTTCTATATGCATAAATAAATAAATCTTAAAAAAACCCAAGTTTAAAAACAAAATGCCCAGCACATTACAGGTCTTCCATAAAAGTTCTTAATCATTGTTTTGGTGTGAAGTAACTTTACAAGCTCAAGTTGAAGTAAAGCAACCCTAATTATTTCATTGTCATTCCTCCATTATTTTAACGACTATGGTTTTGGTTTTAGGGACTAGAAAATGAGTATCAAGAAGAAGGGCAGCTTCTGGGACAGTTTACATATGATCAAGAAGGAGAATCCCTCCAAATGTTCCATGTATTGGTAAGAAGATCTCCATGGTTTATACTGACCTGTGGATCCTGAGTCCCCTTGCTGTGTCAGAGGGCCCAAAACATTAACAAACATGTTTGAAGTGCCTGAGGATCAATATCTGTAAAAAGTGAATTTAAGTTTCATGGCTTTTCTTTTCCTGAGTAAGCCTTTTTAGTGTAAGTGTACAGTGTACGATACATAAATGTCACATAGACTGAAACTGAAATAAATCTAGCTCATAATGAGTTTTCAGTTTGACCTAAGCGTTGGGTCCTGTGATAGTTGATTTGATTCATATTAGAAATTTAACTATTCCTGGGACTTTCTGTTGGCCTACGGGTTAAGTCTCAGCACTATCACCACTGTGGCCTACGTTCAGTCCTGGCCAGAGAACTGACCCATATGGGGCAACAGACCTCTCCTGTCTTGCCTGTATATTTCAGGAGACTTGCCTGTTCTGCTCCCCCACTCTGTTTCTGCTGAATCCTCTCACCCCCACACCTCTGGCCTACACCCTAGTTCTTCTATGCATAAATAAATAAATCTTTAAAAAAATTTAACTATTCCCCAAATATAGTTGAGGAAGTGAGTGGGGTTGAGAGTATTAATATGTAATTGTTATATTTTTTTCTTGATTCCAGAAAAGACCTGAAAGAGCTTTCCAAGTAGTAGAACTTCGGATTTCTTCTAACTGGGGCCATCCTGAATATACATGTCTCTATCGTTTCCGAGTTCACGGAGAACCTATCAAGTAAAGCTGCTCCTCACTGTTGCTGTACATTTTGTATATATGGGACAGCCTGAAACACTGGAACCTTTTTGTGAATGAGGGCATTTAGAAATAAAAGGATGACATCACCCCTAAATAAAACTCACCAACTGGCAGTAAGAGAGTGTAGAGACTGAAGTGATAACGCTCTGATGCCCAGCTGGCTGCTATGTCCATAGGAAACACTGCATGCTCAACACTTGGTTCACAGGGACCCGTTAGCCAGGTATTCTCTGGAAACTCATTTGAATGTATGGTTCACAAAGACACTTAACTTTGTTTTGAGGATTTGTTTTTGAACATAAAGCTCTTTATATTATTTGTATTTTCCTAATGTCAGGAACAAAGCAAATGAAGGTAAAAGGTTTGATGTGTTCCTGAAATTTTGATATTTAGCTTTCACTGGACCTCTTAAGGACTTTTGGGGCACATCTATAGTTCATCTGTTAAATCCAGCACACATTTCTTTCAGGGAAAAAGTAACCAAATTTCAGATTTTTAAACTCCGTTCCTTCAAAATTAGCTATTTCCTTTTCTCAGCACTTGTTATATTGAGTCATCATGTGATAAGTGTTTGTCTGCTTCGTTTGCTCCGATTTCTTAGAAAAACTTTCAGTCAGGACCCAGTATGGGAATATCCATTTAGCAACTGGGGATTCTCATTTCCTTGATGGTTGACATGGGTCTGATTTGAAAGGAGCTGGTCTAGACCTAAACAAACACATAAATAGAGTTTTGTTTCCGGCTAGCCACAGTATGCATAGAAACCAAGGAATCCAGCCTTTTTCAGGTTTTGTTTTGAATTTTGCTAAAAAGTGAACACTAACATGCTCTAAATCTTTTAGAGTTACATTTTTACATGGACAGTTGTCAAAGTAGATTGTCCAGTGTGGCAAATTCATGAAGCTGTTTCATTTATGATTGTAATTTTACTTTTAGCAGCACTTTCTTTGGCTCTGACTGGGATTTGCCGTTTATTATCTGTTGGCCACTCTCACTCAATTCCTATGAGACTAATTTTGATGACAATATTTAATATTTAGACAGTTTTACTGAGCAAACTTTATAATGATATATCTCTGAGGCACTTAAAGTGTTACAGATGTTTTACCTTAAAAATTAAACTTAAAAATTAAATTTAAGTTTTATTGGGTTAAGACAGTTTTTTTTTTGGTATACTGTAAATGTATTTTCAGAAAAAGAAAAAATGATGGTGCTGACTGGTTTTTCTGGAGAGTTTTGTGTATATTGCACAATAGTCCTCAAATATACAAAAATTACATAAAGTAGCATTTTTTTTTTAATTCTTAGAATTGGAACTAATGCCTATGCATTAAGTTGGATAAAATGTATACAGATGTTCCATATATTATAGGATACATATGTAAATCAAATTTCCTATATAGAACCAAATTTGGGGGTTGGGATGGAAATATTTTGAATATTAATTTATTTTTAAAGATGCAAGATAGGACTTTGTGCAATGTATTTTTGTAAATGCTTTTCAATATATTTGTCTTTGGTAGAGCTTCTTTTGCTGCCACCAAATTGATAAGATACTATTGAAATGTTTAAATAAAGAGTTTTAATTTTTAAACATGCATGTGATATTTCAAAGAATAATAAACAGTATATTTCTTTTCTCAATGTGCTGTTTCTGCCCACAGTGGCTGGGGGAGGTGTGACTACATTTGTTTGTGCAGCTCTGTGTCTTCGCCAGTTAATGGTGACCTATACTATCTAGCTAGCTTTACCTAGTGTTGACTTTCCCTGGCAAACTCTTCTAGAAGGAAGAAATTTGGGAAACTCTAAATGTAAAAAAGATGGTTACTTGAGAAGAAGAAAATTAGCAAAAGAGGTGCTGATTATCTCATAAGAATATTTGCTGCTACTAGAGGTGGGAACTCATGGAAACCCATGAGTGTTCACTCAATAAATGTTTACCAAAGACCTGTGTGTAAGGCACAAAGAACACCCTGTAAAGCAAGGTCAGCAGGCATCTCAGCCACCCAGCTGAGAGGCATGCCTTGCAAATATGCCCCCATCCTCTGCTGATTGTCAAGCCAGCCACAAGTGGGAACAACTGGGCCTACCGGGTAAAGACAATCCCTTACCTTTACTCCTTTGTCTCTTAGGTAAGCATACTCCACACTCTGTCCTCCACTGTGCCTTGCTTTTTCCCATTGTGAAAATCGCTTGACCCTGCCTCTGAGAGGAGCTCCTTGGCTCTTCTGTGCACACCCTCTACCCCTTTACTCAGCAAGTCCCCATGTGGACATACACGTTGTCTTTGGCTTCTGCATAAACAGTGTTGTTAGTAGTCAATGATATTGAGAGGCCTCTGACACGGAAATCCCGCGGCAACGAGGGCCCTCAGCTTGTTAACCATGTCCTGAAGCCCAGTCCCTGGCACGCCTTGGGTGCCTTCCGTGGTGGATCGGGTCAGAAATGTGGGGTCACTGATTTTCCTGACGCCTGCCTACCACCACCCACACCCCTCAGCCCCTGCTCCGTCCACTATGTAACCTCCAGCGGCAAACGTTCGAGATATTAAAGTCTTGACATCAGGGATGGCGGAGACTCGACTGCTAAAGCGCGGAATGCAAGTCTGCAGACAAACCCACGTGGGCTGGGAGCCCGCCCCGCGCCGCGCTGGTCTTTATTCGTCAACTGCTGCCAGTCATTGTGGCGTTAGGCCCCGCCCAGTCACATGTCCACCACCCGCTGCCCCGCCCCACAATCACGTGACCGTCACGGGCGCCCGCCCCCAACTGCACGGCTCCTCGCGGCCACCGTAGAGGACGTCGAGCCGCCGCCGGGACGGAAGCCGAGAGGCGCTGCAGACCGCGCCTGCGACAGCGTCAGCCTTGCGCGGAACGCCGGCCCGATGGCGGCGGCGGCAATGGCTGAGCAGGAGAGCGCCCGGAACGGCGCCCGCAATCGCGGCGGTGTCCAGCGCGTGGAGGGCAAGCTGCGCGCCAGCGTCGAGAAGGGCGACTACTACGAGGCTCACCAGATGTACCGGACCCTCTTCTTCAGGTAGCCGCGCCGCCGCCTTCCAGGTCTTTCCGCCCGGACGCCCAACCCCGCACCCTGTCCCCGACCGCTTCCCATTGGCCGCGCCGCGCCTCCCCGCGCCCCCATTGGCCCGCGCGGCTGCCTGTTCGCGGGCGGACCCGAGCGGCGGCTGTGCGGCGGCGGTGTGGAGGGGTGCGGGCTGGGCCCGCCGGGACCTGGACCCTGACCCGGAGCGCAGACCCGACGCCAGGCTGAATCCGGCTGCAGACGCCCCCTGTGCTCGCTCTAATCCTGCCTTGGTTCCCATCTCCCCTGAACCCGACGTCCTCTTCCTTCTGCCGGGACCCCGGGCTCTTGGCCCTTCCCCAGCTCTTTTCCCGAGCACCTTGCTCCCTCACCCGCAGGGGTCGTCCACCCTACGTCTCCTCGCCCCGCTGCCCACCGCCCTCCGCCCTCAGAAATCCCCCATTCCAAGTCTCTCGGTTTTCCTCCTACAGGGAATCCCGTCACGAGGGATTTAAAAAAAAATTTTAACTGTTGTGTCGCCTCTAGTCTCATGTTTCGTTTTGTTGGTAAATTAGCTATTTTTATAAACCTGGCGTTTTTTTGTTCCACCTGTGCTGCCCAGTATTTGGCCACGTGTGGCTATTGAGCTTCTGGAATGTGGTGAGTCCCAAATGGGATACACACTTGGTATCACAGACTTAGTACAGAGAAAAACATGTGACTTAAAATATTGCTATGTGTTGAAATGGTATTTATCTTTTTAGTGCGAGCCTAGAAAATTTCCAAATTCTGAGCATCTTGAGTTACTTGTCTTCCGAGCATCTTGAGTCAGGACTCTTCCTGTCATACAGGTGCTGCATTTCTGTGGAGTACCATAGATCAGCAGTGGCTTAGTGTGAGATACAGGGGCAGTCAGGTCTGGTCTGAACATCACATAGGATTGAGTTTTTAAATTTTCTTTAAATAGTGAGTTGAATCAGTATCTTGGGGACTCTTGGCATTTTCTGCTATGGTTGTAGTTTCCCAAATTTTGTTTGAATGAAACACCTACGTGGTGACACAGAATAGCAAGTAGGACTGAGTTGCTTATCAGTGGTAAATCCAGGAGAGGTGTTGGTATTTGGTCTTCAGGTTGGCTGCTTGGCGGATGCCTTACTGGTAACCCTGATTGTGGGAGGGGTGCTTGAGCTTTGCTTTCAGGCAGTACTGACCTGGCTGGTCAGGGATAACCTTGTTGTCTCTGGTTTTAAGGAATTTTCATGTGAGGGTTCTTAAACTGCTGAAGGGTAGCCTTGTTTGCAGAACTTTCTATTTTTAATCAGGATGCATCTAGTTTTATCGTTGTGTCACAAAATGACTCTTGGAAACCTAATAGTTCTGTTGGTTTAGAAAGAAATTCATGTTTGCTTTTAGTTAGACACTATTTTGTTTTACTTCTGGCAGAAACAAGTCCTGATGCTTGATATTTAGTTTTTTGTACTTGTTGAGTTTATCACTAAACATTATTACCTTCTAAATGGCACAGGCTCTTCAAACTGATTATTCTTCAAGGAATAAAGCAGAGCTGTAAATCCTGTAATATAGACTATTCAACCTGGTAGATTAACCAGCCTAGAATCTTTGAAATGTGGAGCTATAGTAGTGTTCAAGATTTGCCTTGGTGCTTGCTGTTCCTGGGGCTTTGTATGTAAATATTTGCCCCAGTGGTTAATCAGCAAAACTGGACCTTCCTAAAAATAAACACAGTGTTCTTTGATTTGAGCCAGTTCTGCAGTGACTGCTGCATGAGGAACATTGTCCACTCGCTTTAGAGTGGGAGTTCTTCCACCGAGGGGACAGTAATGAACCTGCAAGTCAAGGGCAAACAGAGAGGATACTGTTGCCAGACATACAGTATCCGGCCCAGCCTTGACCTGGGCTCACTTGTCATCTGTGTTCTGTGACCTATGCTTCTGGACACTGGTGTAACCTCTCTTGAATCTTGGCTTCCTCCTGGGGTTGTGAGAAGTAAATGACTTGCCCTTGGCCTTGTTTGGGATGTCATGAAACCAGTTGAAGATGGTGGTTGTGGCCATCCAGGAGTCCTACTTGAAACAGTACTTTTCTCTCCAGGGCATGAGTTTACATTCAGACCACCATCCTGATCTAGGTCACCAAGTAAAACCATACAAGTCACCAAATAAAACCATTTTTTCCTGTTAATAAACACATATTTAAATTTTTACATAAAACGTACAACTTGATGAATTTTGACCAGTACATGAGATTAGCTCCAGTCGACATTAAAATATCCACTGCCTCCACCCCTAAAGCTTTCTTATTCTTCCTTATAACCGCTCCTGCTGGGTCTGTCCCCCTACTACCTTGCCCCAGACAACCACTGATTTGCATTTTCTAGAGTCTTATATAAATGGAATCATATTGTATGTCCTCTTTTTCTGGTGTGATTTTTTAGACTCATTCAGCATGATTGTTTCAAGATTGACGCGTGTTTATCATTAGTTCGTTTTCGTTGATGAGTGGTATTCCACTGCATGTGAATACACCACATTTATCTGTTCACTTGGATGAATTTCCTGAACTATACCACTATACTCCTTATGCCCACAGCAGTTGACGGAGCAAAGAGCCAGGTTTTGGCTCAGCAGACTGGGCTGACAGTGTGTATTGTGCAGCGTGGGCTGCCCTCACTAGTTTGGCTGGTTCAGTTGGAGGCTTTGTCACTGTACAGCTCTGAAACTGAGTGATCACCTTGTCTCTGCAGACCTTCTTCAGGGCAAGGAGGGGCAGCTCCCCAGGCCTGCTGTGTTCCTTAGGTAAGCCTCTGCGCTTGCGTGACTGCAGCGGGGAAGCCCGACAGCCTTCGTGGTCGCAGAGCGGCTGCCTTTGTCATTTGGTGAAAATCAGATCTTTGTACCCGGGGGGGCTTTCTGAGACTTGTGTTGATTGTAGACTGTACCTAGTATATCATCTTAAATTATATGGAGAATTTTTTTTTAAATACCTAAATTGTTCTCTGCTTCCCAGTGTGTATGACGAACTTTCCCTAAAGGAACAGCCGGGATTCGAGGCCTCTGTGCCTTTTAGCTTACATTTGTTCTCAGCAACTCTGATGCTGAGTGTTGCTCAGCACTCTGAGCTCTAGATGATGTGTTTGGCCTCCAAGACTTTTGCCGTGAGTGCTGTCATTCTTCATGGGCACCCACCCACACAGTTTCTTACTAGTATTAAACTTCTGTGTATTTCTGTGTTCTGCCTGCTTTCTGCTCATTTATTTTTATAAGGGAGGAAAATAAGGTATGTTGCATAGACACACTGCTGCGTGAACACAGATATGCTGCCTCAGTCAGTGTTGCCTTCAGCAGCCCCAAACACACCAAATGGAGGTCCTGGCAGAGCGGATGACAGTTCTGTTTGTTATGAGGTGCTGCCTGCCGGGCGGTCAGGGCGTTGAGCTGGTACCAAGCTGGAGGGGTCCTGCTTCAATTGCTTTCAGGAACACGGTCCTTTTTTTGCTCCCATAATTCTGCAGTGCAAAAGGCACACATTCATTTGGCAAAGTGACCTTCCCTATTTTGTTTTTTATCAGCTTTCTTTGGTCGGCAGCAGGTGTTTCCAGCTAGATGGCAGGTGCCTGGTGGAACCCTATGCTGTGTGTATGGACCAGACTGTGCCATCAGAGCAGACACTCAGTAAAACTCTGCTTTCTCTTCCTGTGCTAAGTAGACAGTGCCATCTCTGCGTGCTTCGTAATGTGTGTCTCTCTGTCTCTCCTCTGTGCTGCTCCCAGTGACCTGAGCGGAAGAGGGAAGGCGGCAGCATGTGGCCGTGTGCTGTTGTGTGCTCCTGAGAATGGCTACATTGCTCCAGGAATTGATTTTTCTGCTTTTTTGGAGCCTTTTCCCCCCCTCAGTCTCATTTTCTAAAAGTTCCTTTCTTGTTTGTCTCTACCAAATTGTGTTCAGAAGCAGGGAATGTCTTAGCCAATAATTTAACACAGCTTTGCTAGCAGTATTATAATTTTTAACATAACTGTGTAGGATATGGCTTCTTAGTACACCTGTAAAGAAACAACAAACTCTAAGCTAGTGGTAGATTGACTATACTGTTCAAGAAATAAAGTCCCAATTTATTTAAAGCTGTGCCTTTCTACAAGTTGGCTCTCATTAGTCAGTTTTCCACCTAAAGCTGGGAATCCAGGTAGCTCTTGGGCATTGGCACTAGAGTTAGCGGGCAGGATGGGGTACCCTGAAGGGTCACTCAGTGATGGTAACACAGCTTGCACGGCTGCCTGTCAGCATCTGCAGAGGCAGGAGCCACGTGTCACTTCTCTTTCTGAGACTGCTGCAAGGGCCAGCACACTGCCCACCAAGAGCAGCCTGGCCATGGCCAAGCAGGTGGCTCAGATCTTTGGAGAGCCGTTTAGAATAGCACAAAGAAGCCTCGCCCAGACTGGGTTGCTGGTCAGACTTCTTGATGGACATCACTGTTATTACTAAGGGACAGTGACATATGGTCGTCTACTTCAGGACCAGGGTTAGATGAGAAAATCCTAATATCTAGCTTTAAAACAGCCAAAGAAGTTCCTCAAAGCCCATTTAAACCTCTAAAACATCTTTGCTCACGAAGAATTTGAAATCATTAAGTGTACCAGAATACCTCAGCTAAGAGTCTAGTGTGTTGTATTATGTTTTAAACAGAGACAAGCTGGCATGATTATTACCTAGGACAAATTCTTAGCGTTTATCCGTGCATATAGCAACCTTGAAGCACCTGTTTTCCAGAACCCCTAGAGCAATGGTGGACCCAGGTCATATGAGAACCTGGGAGCATGTGTGGGGTAGCTCCCGGCATCACTCAAGCCCGGTTGATGCACGTGTGTGAAGGAGAAACCACTCTGGACAGTGGTTCACAGGAACGGTAGCCCAGGCTGTCACCAGGAATGATGGAGCTTTTCCAAACTCTTGATGTTTTTCCTCCTTCCACCTTTCACTCCTGTATGCAGCCAGATGGGTGTCTTGGGGGGCCTTTGCAGGCCAGTTGGAAAGTGAATGTATTCTTCTGGGAGAGATCTTGGGCTGTTGACATCCCCCACCTGTCAAACCGGGTGAGCTGAAGGGTGCCGGAGGCCTGAGCATTCTGTGGCGCCGCCCAGGTGCTTACTGCAGATTGAGACCTCCTACACTTCCATGTGCCGAGGAGCTTCCTCTTACTTGATTTGTTTTGAAACATGGCTTCATTAGGATTACGGCTGGGAGACACAGATTTGGTTGGCTGGCTTAATGGCTCTTTCTGATGATCACTGAGGTCACTATGCAGGCAGTGAATTAAATGTCCTGGGTGTGATCTGTGCTGCTGTGCCTGCCACCCTGTGGGAAATGTTGGCACATGTCAGCAGGAAGTGACTGCTTGCTGTCTCACGCTTTCTCTCCTTAGATCAGGGGTTTGTGCTGAGATCCTTTTCTTCGCCGTTTTTAATTTGTCCTGTTTGTGTCCAGTTATCTGGTCTGTCCCTGTCCCTCTGTAGTTCAGGAAGCCAGCCTTTCCTAAGTCCTGCAGTAGAGAGCGCATGTTCAGAGTGGCACAGTGAGGCAGTGGTCTAGGGATGGGAGCGGGGTCCCGGCAGGGGTGCAGCGTCCCCATGTCCTAGTCTTCTTTGTGTGACCTGTCTCTTGGTTCCCTCTGATGGACAAGGGTATATGTCTGCCCCTTCGTGCAGCACTTGCCTCCAAGACAAGGCCTGAAGGTGGATGTCACTCTCAACCTTTCAGTGGTCCTTGCTACTAGAAATCCTTGAGCTACCCCAGGGAGATGTTCCTTTGGCTCCTGGCCTATTTGCATGCAGACAGTACCTCCAGTGTCATCCAGGGATGCGTGCTGCAGCAGTGAGACACAAGTCTGCTATCCTATATGAGGTCTAAATCATGGACTGTTGGGACTCCATGCCAGGCTGGGAAGTTGGACTGTAAGATGTCCCAATGCAGAGATTGGACACAGAGCCCTGGGCAAACCAGCTTTGCTTCCACTCTGGACAGGAGGTGTGGGCACATGTGGATTGTCTGCTTTATGAAGCTTTTATGTTTACTCAAACACCTCATCTTTAGCAAACCGTCACTGGGGGCTTGGTGGACATAAGAGGATGTGATGAGTTAGACTGTGGGGAGCACTTGCTCCAGTTGTCACATTGTGGCCAGGTTTAACTGGTGCTCTGCCCTCTTTCTGTTGCAGATATATGTCACAGAACAAACATGCAGAGGCCCGGGAACTCATGTGCTCTGGAGCGCTGCTGTTCTTCAGCCACGGTCAAGTAAGTAGCAACTTCTAACCATCTCTTCCTCTGCTTGGGACTGAAGGGTTGCAGTGACCAGGGAGATATCTGGTGGACAAAATTGGACCATCTTGGCTCCGGCCAGAGCTAGGAGAATGTTCCCTATTTCAGCACACAGATGTGGGGGCACCATCTGTGAGGGTGCGGTCAAGGCTAGTTCGCAGTAACTGGAGATGCATGACTGCATGACCTTGTGCTTGTAGTCCTTCCCATAACTCTCTCTGTTCAGAGGTGCTGACTGGAAAACCAGAGTGACCCGAGTCTGCTGAAAATGAGTGGGATTTCTTTCTAACTGGGGTTCTTGTTCCTTTACATGTTTTGTAGCAAAACAGTGCTGCAGACTTGTCCATGTTGGTCCTAGAGTCGCTGGAGAAGGCGGAAGTTGAGGTGGCCGACGAGCTGTTGGGTGAGGCTTTGTTCCTGTGTGCCAAGTGCCGTGTGAGGCACTTGGGCCGGTTGCAGTCTCGGTCTCTCGAGTTGCTTGTCTCTGTGTATGTGACCCAAGGGCTCCTGTGCTTTGGGAGAATTTAGTTGTGAGCAGTTCTGGACGCATTCACCTCTGAGCGTACACAGCGCATGTCGTGGGATGTGCATTGTGCTGGGTTTCATAGGTGGAGCTCCCCCTCCTGTCCACGCAGTAACTGGCTCTCTGTGGATCTGGTGGATGATGGCTCATGAGGTGTGGAGCCTCTTGTCAGCTGCCCATTTGCAAAGGAGCGTCTGCTTCTTGCGCTGCTGTTCTTAACCTCACTCCTACCACCAGGCTTCGTCCCTTCAGCTGCTCACCACAGCCCACCTGCAGTGTGTCGCTGCAGCAGAGGGGCAGTAGTGGGTGACCCTGGATGGCCAGTAACCCAAGGGAAGGAGTAGTCTGGGGCACCACAAGATACCAGTTTCTCAGCTTTCTTTGGAAGTGAGGTAGCCCTTGTTTGTAATGATTTTTTAAGATGTGCCATGTGAAGAACTGAAGTAGTGGTGTGTTCCTGTGCATAAGGGTCTGTATTTGTGTTGTTTTTAGAAAATCTGGCTAAGCTGTTTAGTATGATGGATCCAAATTCTCCGGAGCGAGTGGCTTTTGTGTCTAGAGCACTGAAATGGTCCAGTGGAGGCTCCGGGAAACTGGGCCACCCCCGGCTCCACCAGCTGCTGGCCCTCACCCTGTGGAAAGGTAGGCCTGGGAAGCCTGCATGCAGGAGGCCAGGGGAGCCGTTGCAACCAGTAAGTGACCTCTTCATGCTCCCCTGGCTTTTTACCTGCATTATCCATTTCAATCACTGATAAAATTATCTGCTATAGCTCCATGGGGAGGGAGAGTTTGGGCTTTGAAATAACTGGTGTGCTCTGTCCAGTCAGATCTAAACATTCTGCTTTGGTAGTAAAGCAACTCTTGAGCGAGCACCTATGTTCTGAGAGTGTGTTCCCCTGGGAGGGGAGGCCTGGGCAGCCTTCCCTGACTGCGGCCTGGCTGGGCTTCAGCCCTCAGGACACCTGCCCAACCCATGAAGCCCACCTTTCCCTAGGTCAGGGCTTCATGGCACCACGCTGTTTCTTCTCAGCATCCACTTATCTTCTGATGAGGCATTTGAGGCAATTACTCACTTTGTGAAAGCGGGGCCATGACTCTTTCTTGGTGGTGTTCTGGCCCTGACCTTTGCATATCTCTTAGGCACAGGAAAGGCTCAGTACATCTTTGTTGCAAGATGTGAAGGACTGTTGTTCAGAAAGGTCCTCCACAAGGACCGGGGGAGGGGAGGGGAGGAGGGGAGCAAGTAGTTCTCAGTCACTGCCAAATTGTCTGTACTGGGCTTACCTGGGTAAATTCAGGGGAGCGGGGTGCTGAGGGGCAGGTGCCTGGATGGGGTGCAATGGGCACGTCTCTCTCATTTAGAGTTGTGGAAATTGAGACGGTCTAGGCCGAAGGTGACTGTTCAGACAGGGTGCAGATGAGCTCTGTAAGGATTCCCATTCCAGTGTTCCTCCAAACACTTCTTCTGATGGACTGAGGATGGGGTTCTCAAAAGCCCAAAGCTTCTGCTCTTCCATCAGCAACACACAAAATTGGGTACCCACTCATGCAGAGGGCCTCACTCACCCCATCCCCTCACTGCAGGCAGGTATGAGGGTCCTGGTGCCTCTGGGTGCTGACATACTCATTGGTCCTGCTCGCAGAGGATATTCCAAGAGGAATGGATCAGATAGGAACAGAATCCAAAGGCCAAGAGGCTAAGGAAAGGACCCGCCACGCTAAGGGCCCCAGGCAGGCACACCTGTGGGCTCCCATCCCCAGTGCCCACCTGCTCCGATGGTGGCTGTGGGGACAGTGCTGCCTTTGGGTTCACAGCTTGCACACAGACACCCCCACCATCACAGTTTCTTTCCAGAGCACTAAGGGAGCCTTAAGAGTGCCAGGATCTAATTACTTGTGTAATTTATTTCATGTGGATACTCTAAAACCAGAAAATTATTTTAGAATTTGAAGGCAAAGGGAAGATGAACACCAGAACTGAACAAAGAACCCCTGAATCCGGAACATAGCACATAGGGTGCCAACATGACAGCAGGCAAGGGCAGCTGTGCCATACCCCGATACAGTGGCTAGAATAAGAGGAGTGTTGCCAGTGGAAAGCAGGAGAAAGCATGAGGTGGGCCGTCTGAGCAGGCAGCAGGACCAGACTGGCATGGCACCTTAGCCTTCTGAGGGCCTGGTTTTTATTCTGAAGGAGTGGGGAAGCAGCATGGCGTATGATCCACTCCTTTCCAGAGGGGGGCCTTGAATGTTTTGAGGACAGGCTGGTGTTGGGGAAGGGCTGCTGTGTCCTAGCAGGAAGGTCTGGGGGCTTGTCCTGGGGCAGCCTACGTGCTGCAGACCCTGCCCAGCTCTGGGGTACAGGGAAGAACTGTCGTGAGAAAGGGGGCAGCAGGGAGAAGAGAGAACACTAGGATGGATAGAGGGGTCCAGATTCACAGCACGAGTCATGAAAGGTTGGAGTGACAATCATTTTCTTAAAAAACAAAAACAAAACAAAAAAAAAAACCCAGGCATGTGGAACCTAGTTAAATAGCCCACTTACAATAGAAATGTTGAGCAAATAGCTTAGCATTAGACATGTTCACTAACGAACTCAGTTCTAGGTCCCATTGACGTTACTAGCACTCTGACCTTGAGCTCTCCTCACTCATGTAGCCCTAGGCCATGGGGACCAAGAAGGAGTAACTGTTGGATGCAAGGTCTCGTGTGCAGCCTAACCGGCGCCTAACAGGGCGCTGATGAACAAGGACACAACGGAGCTGGAAATTCTTTGTCACAGTGATGGAGGGACATGTCCCTCGGTGCCAGCCCACCACACTAGGGGCACTGTCATCGTTCCACCTGCAGGCCAGCATTAAGGAAAACTTTGTTGGGTCTCACCTTTAGGGTGGTTCATGCATCCCAGGTAGCGGAGACCACAGGACTCTGGGTGGATGACAGACGAACAAGGCCTCTGGGAGAAGGGCTGGATCCGGCTGCTACTTGAGATTTAAAGTGCTGAGTATTAGGTTAAGTAGATTGTGCATTAGAGTTTCATATCTGGCTTCTTCATGTCTATATGAAACGGCCATTTGTATAGATTAATAGGATTCCCTTTGGCTATTTCTTACAGTGCAGCTAATGTAAATGTTGTGGGACTGCAGGGCATCCTCCTATAGCTGAATTCATCCAAATCACCTTTCCCCTTCTGTTTGCACTTGAATTCGGACCTCACGGAAGTGAGAGAGGTGTTGGCCATGCTCTAGCGTGCAGGGCGGACCCCTCAGATTGTCGTGTGCCTGGTTGTAAGCAGGGTGGGTAGTGTGGAGTGCAGGAGGTTAGGCTAGTCTTTCAAAGGTCCTTAATGAATTCTAAGATGCTCATATTTATAGATTTTTCTCTTTCCCCGTGTAGAACAAAATTATTGTGAATCTCGGTATCACTTCCTGCACTCTACTGATGGAGAAGGATGTGCTAACATGTTAGTAGAATATTCTACCTCCAGGGGATTTCGCAGTGAGGTGGACATGTTCGTGGCGCAGGCTGTCCTACAGTAGGTATTCCAAATTTGCTTTGTCAAATCTTTGCTTAAATGGCTTCTCTGAGCCATCACCTTGTCATCTGACTAGGACACACAGAAGGCCAAACTGAGGTCCCTTAGGGTCACACACATAAAATGTACCTCACGAGAAGGTCTGATGCGGAACTCGGGCAAACAGACTTCCCTCCATCTTACCTAAGCCATTGGAATGCTAAGGCATTTGTAAAATTTCAGCCGAGCAGTACAAGGAATGAATTAAATTACCATCTGTTTTCTTTTTACTCCCATTATTCATTTTTTGTTTGTTCTGTTGGGCAACTGTGTTTTTGTAGGACTCATGTATTTGATGAACTTTAGGGAGTATCTGAATGTGAAGGGAGCATGTTCACGGAGGCCGTTTGTCTGCACAGATGTTTCTGCATCTGGACATGTGGACACAGTGGTGTGTCTAGGCAGCTCTTTGTTTCCGCAAGGCCTACATCTCTGTCCCCTGTTCTAGTCAGGCCTCATCTTTTACTTTCTTTCCAACATTTTGAAAGTATTGAAGCATACAACAGAGTGGAGGCGTGGGCAGCCAAGGCTTGTGGCCATCACCAGACTGTCAGTGCTTAATTGCACATGCGTGATTGGGCCGGCTGCCAGAGTCTCTGGGCGCTGCTTTCCAAAGTTGAGCCCTTCCTTCCTTGTGGAGACATTTCATTTGTGAGAGATTGATTTCCTCCCACAAAACACTTTGATGTGGCAGACCAGACCTTAAGATAGGGTAGACTATGAAGTAAGGGGGGCAGTCACTAGTGTTTTCTGTACTTCATGGCACCTCAGAACTTTGAGCTCCACACATAATTGTGCTGGTGACATGTGTGACTTTGAAAAGGAAATGCTATTAAAACCCAAAGTTTGCCAGCTGTGGCACATGGTGTGTATTTCCTCTGGACTCTACTTGGCTCTGGTTATAAGGTTGCTAAGCCGGTTCTCATCACTCCCCCTTGATGCCTTACAAAAAAGTATTCTTGAGGTTACTATACCCCAGTGAAATGCAGTTGGTGGCCATGTCTTCTGCAGGTGAAAACCAGAATTAGGCCTAGCACCCCTTGACACGTCCAGGCCTATGGGCCTCGCTGCTGCTGGCCCTGTACTGAATGGCCACCCAGGCAGGTGCCCAACATGTGTGGAGAAAAAGACTAGTTTGTGCACTCTGTATATCACAGCTCTGTTGACCTTGGACATGTCATCTTCCCAGGCTTAAGTCGCTTCACCTGTGAAATGTGAAAATGTAGAGTTGGCGTGCTCACAAAGGTGTGAGAGAGGAGGTCCCAGGATACATGTAGCTTTGCTGACCAGGAGCTCCCCCATACTCAGTATTCCCACTCATTAATATATTCTTATTTCTAGGTTTCTCTGTTTGAAAAACAAAAGCAGTGCATCAGTAGTGTTCACGACGTACACGCAGAAGCACCCGTCCATTGAGAACGGCCCTCCCTTTGTGCAGCCCCTGCTCAATTTCATCTGGTTTCTGCTGTTGGCTGTAGATGGGTGGGTTTTATGTGTGCAGTGTCCGTGTGTCTGGAGAGGTATGTGAGGTGTGCCTGTGCTGGCGTTTGAAGATGTGGGGGTAATGCTTTGTATATTTAGGTGTATGTGGTCGATAGTGCACATGTGTATATAGATCTGAGGTACGTCTAATGGTCTGGGGGGGCAGCCGGTATGTATGGAATATAAGGGGGGTGGGCTATGTGTGTGATGGTGTTTTGCTCTGTATAGATGCAGGGATGTAAATGTATGTAGGTTTGTATATCTATAGTTGTGTGTGTGCGTGTGTGTGTGTGTGTATAGAAAGTGTGGCCTGGAGGAGGAGTGGCATGTGGATGTGTACATTCTTGTTTTCTTGGGTTTTCAGTTATAAACAGAATTGTGTCCCACTCTTCCTTGTTTCAGAGGCAAACTGACCGTGTTCACAGTACTGTGTGAGCAGTACCAGCCATCCCTCCGGCGGGATCCCATGTACAACGAGGTGAGGGACTTCCCAAGTGGGGTGGGAGCTTGTGGACTTCAGTAACAACAGCTGGAGAAGTGGGTGGAGAGAAGCACCGGTCACTTGGCATCCTGTGCCCGGGTGGGGCTTGCAGCTGAGGGGTGGGAGCACTTAGCCCAAAAGCTCCTGTGGGGCATCATGCATTTCTGGCATCTTCCAGCTCCTCAGTGACCCCTTTGCCTCTTTCAGTACCTCGACAGGATAGGACAGCTCTTCTTTGGCGTGCCGCCCAAGCAGACTTCTTCCTACGGAGGCTTGCTAGGTAAGGCCTGGAGCAAAGGCAACCTGCAGCATCACCGTGTTCCGCTTGGCAGTGCTGTGTGGGGGTAGGACAGCCCTGGCCTGGCTCAGGCATCCACTCCAACTTTCCACCCTCAGCTCTGTCACTACGTCCTGCTCTCAGCATACTTCCACACAGCGCTGATAGGGCCTGTCACAGACTGGTGGATTATTATCCTAGGGCGCTCCCTGTTGGACAGAGTTAATACCAGGTTTCTCTTTGTTCTTTTTTATTATTACTATTACAGTAAATTACACATGACAGACTTTACCATCATTAGTAGGTGTCTAGTTCAGGGGCACTAAACACATCCCCTTTGTTGTGCAGTCATCACCACCGTCCACAGGTACACGCTTAACTGTCACTCCTCGCCCTCCAGCTTCTGGCCCCCACTGTCGTCTTTAGTTCTGTTGCTCCAACTTCTCTAAGGACCTCATGAGTATGATCATACAATATTTGTATTTTTGTGACTGGCTTATTTCACTGAGTATAAAATCTTCAGGGTTCATCCACGTTGTAGTTTATGTCAGAATTTCTTTCCTTTTTTAAAGGCCGAGTAATCTGTTGTATGCATGGATATATGACATTGTGCTTATCCCTTCATCCATCCATGGACACAAGGGTTGGTTCCACTTTTTAGCCATTGTGAATACTGCCCTGTGCACATGGATACACAAATCTCTCTCTCCTTCAGTTCCTTTAGGTACATACTCAGAAGTGGAATTCTTGGGTCATATGATAATTTTAATTTTTTTGAGGAACCACTCTGTTTTCACAAATGTGCACCGTTTTGCATTCCTCCTAATAGTGCAGAAGGGTTCCAGTTGCTCTACGTCCCCCTGATTGCTAGTGTTCTGAATTTATGGGAGTCGCTTCCTAACGAATGTGGGTAGTATCTCCTGGTGGTCTTGCTTCACATTTTCCTAAGGATAAGTGATATTGGATATCTTTGCTTGTGTTTGTTGGTCATCTGTGTGTCTCTTTGCTACCTCTTTTTTTTTTTTTTGCCTATTTTTTAATCAAGTTGTTTTAGTAGTTTTCTATACTAGGACATTAATTTCATATCAGATAATTAAGTTGCAAATATATTCACATTTTTCTTAAAAGTACTCTTAGAGTTACAGCAAAATTAAGAGGATGATACAGAGATTTCCCATATTCTCCTTGTTCCCACCCAATATCAGCCTTCCCCAGTCGAGTAAGACATTTGTTACAGTTGGTGAACTTAGATCGGTACATCACCCCATCCCAAGTCTGTAGTTTACACTGGGGCTCACTTCAGCTTTGTGCATTGTGTGGCCTTGCATGCAGATGTATGACAGCATGTGTCCACAATTAGAATGTTACACATAATATTGTCAGTGCCCAGAAACCCTGTACGTGACTGTTTTTCTCCCTCACCACCTTTTCACTCTGTTTTTAGAGCTTTTGATAATATAAAATGTTTTAATTTTGGTGAAGTAACTTGTCTTTTGTGGCCTCTGCCTTTGGTTCATATCCAGGAAATCATTGCCATATTCATTGTCCTACAGCTTTTACTCTGTTTTCTAAGAGTTTTGTTGTTTTAGGTCTTATGTTTAGATTTCTGATCCATTTTGAGGTAATTTTTATATATGATGTGAGGTAAGGCTCCAGCCTCATTCCTTTGTATGTGGATATCCAGTTTTCCTAGCACCATTTATTGGAAAGGCTTTCTTTTCCCCATTGAATGTTCCTGGCACCTTTGTCAAGAATAAGTTCATTGTAGTTTGAGGTTATTTTCTAGAGCATCTCTTCCATTGGTCTCATGTGTCTGTATGCCAGTATATTGTTTGATTCCTAGATTATATTCCCACTTCAAAGTGGGAAGTGCAAGCCTCCAGTTTTCCAGATTGTTGTGGATCCCTCAAAATTCCATGTGAATTTTAGAATGGGTTTTTGTTTCTGTGGGAAATGCCATAGGGGTGCATTGGATCTGTAGATTGGCCTAGGTTGCAATGATGCCTTAATAGTTAAAGTCTTCCAGTCCACAAACATGGGATGTGTTTCCATTTGTTCATGTCTTTAATTTTTTTCAACAGTAGTTGGTAATATTCATAGTACAAGTCTTTTATCTCCTCAGTTAATTCTTTTTTGATGCTGTTGTAAATAGAATTGTTTTCTTCCTTTTAAGATTTTTCACTATATATGGCAATGCAACTGATTCTTTGTGTTACTGTCTCCTGCTACCTTGCTGAGTTTGTTTATTAGTCTGACTTTATTTTGTGGAACTCTTACTATTTTCTGCAGATAATTTTACTTCTTCCTCTTCAATTTATATGCCTCTTACTGCTTTTTCTTGCCTGATTGCTCTAGCTAGGACTAGTACTGTGTTGGTAGAAGTGGTGAAAGCACACATCCTTGATTTGTTCCTGAACTTAGAAGAAATGCTTTCAGTCATTCACCATTCCAGCATGTTTGCTTTGGGCTTCATATGCCTTTTACTATATTGAGGTAGTCTCCTGCTCCTAGTTTGTTGAGTGTCTTTATGGAAGAGTGTTGACTGTTGTCAAGATGCTTTTTCTGCATCAAATGAAGATGGTCATATTGGTTTTCCTTCTTTGTTGATGTGACATACTGTTATCAGCTGATTTTCATATGTAGGACAGTTTGCATTCCAGGAATAAATCCTGTTTGGTCATGGTGTACTCCTTTTAATATGCTTCTGAATTCTTTTTGCTAGTATTTTGTTGAGGATTCTACATCAGCATCCGTAAAGGATACTAATTTGTAGTTTTATTTCTTGTAGAGTCTTTGACTTTGGTGTTGGACCTGTGCTGGCTTCATGGGATGAATTGGGAAGCATACCTTCTTCTTTAAATTCTTGAAAGTTTGAGAAAGATTGCTATTCCTTAAATGTTTGGTAGCATAATACCACAGTGAAAGAGTAATACCCAGAGCTTTTCTTTGTTTGGAGAATTTTGATTACTGATTCAGTCTTCTTACTAGTAATAGGTCCATTCACATGGTCTATTTCTTTGTGATAGGTTCGGTTGGTATAGGCTGGGGGCCAGATTTGAGGTCAGGCCGCCTCCCCTGCCTCCTCTCCCCGTCTGGTGCAGCCACATGAGCCATCAGCTCTCACTAAGGTCTGATAGCAGCTGCTCCCCTCTACAGGGAAGGGGCCAGTATAGTCCTTCATTGAAAAGTGGTTTTTATAATCCTTAATGTTCTAAATTTTATTTTTGAATAGGTAAATCATATTTCACGGAGTTCAGAATTCAAAAGCATCCACGCCCCCGGCCCTGTCTTGCTGTTCCACAGTCCTCGCAGGGCCAGGCAGCGTTAAGGCTTCTTGAGCTTCCTTCCTGAGCTACCTTTGCAAATACACAGATGGCTCGTTCTACGTAAACGGTATCGTATCGTGCACACTGACCGCACCTCATCTTTTTAGTGCTGGAGCTGGGGCTGCTCCTTCTGACTCAGGGCAGGTCCTGAAAGGGTTTGTCCCACAGAGCCCGGGTGGTGCCTCTGATGTGCTGTAGCAGCCTGTGCCACCCCCACCCCCCTACCCAAATCCGGGTGTCCCTCTCCTTGTGGCTCTGCAGGGTGGGATGGGGTAAGCCTTTGTCATTTTGATGACTTTACCGAATTGTGCTTCATGGAAAGGAGTTCCTGTCTCTGGGATTTTTTAAAAACTGTTTCCCCTTAAAACACATAAATTTTTACTTATGACCTGCCTGTCTAGAATTTGGCTCAGTGGAAGGTGTGAGGCAATACCATGGCCTTTCTCCTCAGCTTGTTCCCACTACGCCAGTCTCCAAGCTCGTGCTCTGTCTGAAATGGTGTGGCGTTTTGGTGTGCTCAGAGTGCCTCGTGAATGTCAGCTTACTGTTTTCACATCTGTTAGGTGTGGTCCCCATACATCACAAGTGTCCTGATTCTTCATGCACGAACAGACTTGAGAACTGGCCTTTCTGCGGTGTCAGACATGCTGGGAGTGTTCATTGGGTTGAGATCAGGTTGTACATCAGGGAAAGTTTTAACACCTCTATGCCTGTGTTCGTGCGTTCAAAGGATATTGTCTGCCTTTCCGTTTGTTCTTTGTTTCCCTGTGGTTTGGCTTCAGCAGGGGGCTTTTTGTACATTTTTTGTAATAGTTCTTTGGATAAAACTTAGGTAAGTAGGATGGGAAAAATAGTGGTGAAGACATTTAATGTTCCTATGAGTTGTCTCTGACACTTGTGCATTTGACTTCTGTGCAGTTCTAAGACTGATGATGTGTTTTGTGACTTACAGCCTTTCCTTTGGTTGGCAGTAATCTCCCGTGATGCTGATGATACTTTAGATTCCTCCTGGCGACAGTGCGCTCAGGCTCTCCTCCCTGTTAGCAGCCCTGCACCACACACCTGCTGTGTCCCTGTGGCTGCTACGCGGGGCTCCTCTTTGCAGGCGTGGCGATGTCAGGCTGCTGCTCATCCTGTCACATTCCCAGACGTGGTGCTGAGTGTGGGCGGTGGGAATTCTTGGGCCGGAGGCCGCAGCGAGGAGCTGCTGTAGCCCTGACGCCACCGTGCGTTTCCTTCCAGGGAACCTTCTGAGCAGCCTCATGGGCTCCTCGGAGCAGGAGGGTGAGGACAGTCAGGACGACAGCAGCCCCATCGAGCTCGACTGACGCCGCCGCCCGCCCACCGGACCTGCATGCAGACGCCCGAGGCCGAGTCCCGGGGTCCTCGTGCCCCGCGGGCTCTGGGTTCTGAGGCTGTGGTGGCTGCGTGTTGGTGTCTGTGTCTGTGCGCTGGCCAAGGGCTGTGCGTCGCTGTGCCGACCAGGCCGACACCATGTTCCCTCAGATTGACCCCAATAAAGCACAGGCCTTGCTGCGCCACCTTTCCCAGTCCTTTGTTTCTCTTTGCTTTGGGAGGGCTGAGGGCTGACGTGGGCGCAGCTTCTGGTGTGCCAGGCAGTGTCCTCCGCTGTCACGCGTGCCCGTCCTCAGCACAGACAGCACTTACGAGCTGTCCCATGGACATCCTGCTGTGGCCTGGAGAGCAGCTGTTCCGTGCTGAGTCCTGGAGCCACATCCCTGCTGCTGAGGGGCACGTTGTCACTCTGGAAATGGTGTCTTTCCAAAAGGATGCTGCAGAACTTTACACCTCCTAATGCAATATTTATCTTCGTCGGTTGATTGATTCCTCTGACCTGACATTATAGGTTTTAGCCAGAAAACCAGTCCAGGGGCTGGCAGGGCTCTCCCGTCTCTCTGATCTATACAGGTGTTACCGGATCGTTACGAACAGGAAACACTTTATTTTTTCACAGTTAAGAGTTGTAGATTAATACACAGTGATCATGCATGGGAAGGAGGGAAATAAACAATTTTATTTACTGTAAAAATGGAATTTAAAGGAAGGTTTGTGTTAATTGTTGAGTTTAAATAAATCCTTTATACTGGGCTCTGCGGCACTGGTCCTTTCTGAGTGAGCTCCGGGACGTGGGCATCTGCACAGAGGCCTGGGCCTCCCCAGCGAGGGGCCCGGCGCTGTGACCAGTGGCTTCCAGGCTGTCCAGCCTGAGGTGGATGTGTGGACAGCAGCAAGAGGCCAGTGCTGGGGAAGTTTCATGGTCTTAGGTGAAACAAGTGGCGGTGTTGGAGCAGTCAGGGTCTGGGCGGCGCATGAGCCCCGGCCCTGGAGGAGAGGCTCTGCTGACCTGTGTCCTGAGATAGAGAACGGCCGGAGCAACCTTCTCCCCCCAGGTGGTTCTTGGGGTGGTGGACTTGGGGCTCAGGTCTGACTGGTCATCCACCGGGCAAGGAAGCTGGGTGGGGTCTGAACCCAGGATGGGGGTGCTACTTCTGCCACAACACTTGTTTTGAAGCCACAACTTGCACCCGCCTTCGCTGATGTGCTAGGGAACAGTTGGAGCAAAGTGCATTTTTATGTGTGATTTGGCCCAGAATTCAAAGGAGCTTGGACAAAGGGGCTGTGCTAGAGTGCATGCAGCCCCAGGGGGTCACCCTCAGGTTTCAGGTTCCCCTCCTTCCAAGGCAGCTCCCAATCACCACATGAAGTGCCGGCTTTAGCTACTGTTTACTTCAGCCAGTAAACCCCGCCGTCCCCTCAGGATGGGATGAGGCTCCAGTGCGTGTGGCTGACCCATAGCTGTGGTTTTCCCGTGTGGGTTGAAGGGCACGGTCATTTTCCCTTTTCTAGGCGCATAAGCGTACCCCTCACCTGAGTGCTAGCAGGTCAGGACAGCTGCACTGACCTCATGGCCCCAGGACCAGCACTAGGTGTGCCCAGAGGGCCCCCAGGACCCATGCGAGGGAGGGCCTGGCTGCAGCACCTTAAAAGAACTTCAAAGTAAGAAAATTAAGGACCAGCCATTTATGGAGTGTAACTCGCAGCTTGCCTGAGAAATCTCGCCACCAGTCGTCACGTTGTCTTACAGTGCTAGGGCAGCCGGGTTCCCGCTTCCTGCATGCCGCGTGGGTGTGCGCAGGGTACGGCGCCCTGGCAGCGCAGCGCACGCCCCGCAGAGCACGCCCGTGAGTACGCACGCCGGCATGCTCGTGTGCTCTCAGCATGAGCCCCCCACCTCCAGGAACCAAGAAGATCAGGCCAAGAGGACTTGGGCCGGGGGAGGGGGGCTGACCCCTGCACAGTGGGGATAAACCAAGGGAACACAGGGTTTCTCCTGATGCAGTTTGAGTTTCCTTGTCCAGAAAACAGGTCAGTGGTAGTGGATAGGGCATTAGGAGATGGGGGTGGGGGAGGCGGCCTCGGTTTTGAGGAAGGGGTGAGGGCAACCTCTTCTGGGGCATTGCCCGGGGCAGGTGGGTCTTCATTACATCCCCTGGGGCACTGCAGGTGGGGGGAGGGCTTACACTCGGTTGTCCTCACCGTCAGCCATCCTAGAGCCCCTGCCCTGGCAGCCCTCGCTCAGCAGGGACAGTGTTTCTGTGGGTAGGGGTGCCTCGATGCCCCCCAGTCCTTCATCTCCCTCAGAATCCAGATTTTCAGGGGTTGAGCTGGTGGGCGCCATGCTCAGAGGCAGGGGAGAGGCAGCATCCCCAATCCTCACAGCTCCCTGGGGGGGAGGGGGGACCAGAGCCCCCAACCCAGATACTACACAAGATGAGGCCACACACAAGCCCCACTCTATTCCAGGACACAAGGGCTGGGGGCCATCTGCTCACCCAGCAGGTGACCTGCCCCCCGACCCCCCCCCACGATACACAGGCTGCCTGGGACAGCCGAGGACCAGCCTGAAGTGGATCTGCTCCATGCACTCACTCCTTCCCTGCACACTTCCACGTACAGGGTCCCCTGCTACCTCCACACTCCCAAGGGTGCACAGAGCCAAGTCACCTGGTGTGGAGGCTGTGGTCAGTTTGGCCAGTCGCACTCCGAAGTTCTGTGGGGCATGCGCAGTTCCCAACCTCCATCCTCCAAGGGTTCAGAGGCACCATAAGGTCAGACAGGGGGCGCGGATCACTGGACAGTGTCAATCCCTGGGCTGGGCACTTGAGGTACCAGCAAGCAGCAGACAAACTTGACCCTCCAGTCTCCCAGCACAAGGCAGGGGACATGGGGTGGGGGTGGGGGGTCCCAGCTGGCAATAACCTTCATCCCCCAGAAGGCCCCACAAGACCATTCTGCATTTGCCAGGTCAGCTTGAGGACCAGGCCATGTTCCCCACCCCAGCCCCCAGCACCCTACAACTGACACACAGCAGATGCTCAATAAATACTTGTTGGGGGAGGGGTGGCACGTAGTCAGGAAGGAGCCTGGAGGGGGCAGAGGGAGTGGGAGAGGAGCATGCAGCCCACCCGCGTCTCCACAGCCCACCCGTCAGGGTTGGACAGGGAGGATCCTTGAGGGGCTGAAGGGGTGGCTAGTGGGGAGTGCAGGGGTAGGAGGGGAGGGGGGCGCGAAGGAGGGGCTAGTGGTATCACATCCAGGGGGCAGCAGCATGATGGGGTCAGAGGTCAGGATGGGCTAAAATGAGGTTCCAGAGAATACGTCCTGGTGGTTAGCGCTCAGGCCCCACCTGACCATATCCAGGGCTGCCCCCTCAGGCAGGACAGGGCTGAGGAGCCAACCCCCTCCGACTGAAGGCCCCCAAGATTCAGCTGCTGCTTCCTCGCCAGCCTCGTCTAGTGAGTCCAGAGTCCATGGGCCACTTGCTAGGGTTTATGCTTGAAGTGGGCTTCCACTGGAAAAGGGACAAATGTCCAACCTTGTCACGGCCACACTGACAGCACTAGGCTTAGTCCCCAGGCAGACCCCACCTGGCCCTCACCTGCATATTCCTGGGGCAGCATGGGCCTGTCCACCACCTTCCGGAAGGCCTCCATCCACGCCCTCTGCTCTGACTCGGTCTCACAGGCTAGCAGGAACCTGCGCTCTGGTGTGACAATGGTGATGCCGTGTGGCCAGTGGTGGCCCTGCGTAGACGGCGGGAGCCCATCCAGCACCGTGTAGCCGCTCTCCCTGCTACCAATGAACACTTCCCCACGGGCAAAGGCATCCTGTGGGTAGGTGTCAGCTGAGTTGGGCTGGGTCCCTCACCCGAGGCCAGGCGGGGGCAGCTTCACTCAGCTGGGGAAACCCAGACCACTCCCTCCCTCGGCAGCCTGGCCAGCCATATCACGCCACGTGTCCAGCAAACTGGTCACCTTGCAAGGGCCCTGCTGGCTGCATTTCTGACCCCAGCTGATCTGGGGCCACAGCTTTTCCTCACCAGGGGGTCTTTGAAGTACATGAGCCTCCGGTCATCCATGGTGAACCAGCGCTTCCGGAAACCTTCTGTATGCTGTAGGTCAGAGAGGGCCTGAGCCGAGCCCCTGTCCCCAGCTGACCACAGCTCACCACCAGAGGGAAGGGCCTCACTCCTCACTTGGCCTCCTGTGGCCACCGCGGGGCCTGCTGGCCACCACCCACCACACTCAGTGCTCTTCCTTCTCTGCACCAGCTCCTCCCTTGTCTGTGAGCCCAGGTGGGAACCTCCATTACAGGCCCCTGGGCACCCACAAAGCTCGCCGCGGGCTGCAGGGTGGCCTGGGTCCTGGGATATGGGTCCCCCTCGTCTGCTCTTTACAGGCGTGGGCCACACTGTCTCTGTGGGGCAAACAGTAGGCGGGACTGCCCACACCAAGATGACCCACCTTGTGTCCACAGCACACCTGACCCCGGAAACCCAGGTGCTGATGGCATGAGGCCTCGCAAGCCCCAGTAGCCACATACTGGTGCCCAAACCCACCTTGGGACCAGTCTTCTCCATGTAGCCTTCCTTCAGGTAGTTCCTGGAGAGCTTCGGCACCAGCTGGGCAGAGAAAGCACTCAAGTGGGTGGGTAAGTCACCCAGGCACGCCCCTGGGCCCCTGTTCCTCCCCCAGTACTTCCCTGCCTCCTCTCCACTATAACTTAACCCAGAAACTGAGAATAGCCAGGGTCACTCAGGCCTCAGGCCAATCAGCAGCAAGAGTCTTTGGGGGTCTGCGTGAGCCCATGGTGTCCTGACCCACCATCCCAGGCTAGGGGCCACATCTCCGAGGAGATAATAGGAGCCACTCACGTCTGCGTCACTGGCTCCTGGGAACGCCACCTGTAGGTAGTGGAAGCGTGCGGCACGGAGCGCGTTGAACCAGTCCACCATTTCCTGGAAGTCGGACACTGGGCATAGGCCACGCCATAGCCTTGCGGCCAATGATGCGGCGAAGGGGCTCCCCAGGGTGGTGCAGCTGTCCCCAAAGCTCCGCCCCCTTGGGCACCTCCAGACACTCCCGGGGTGAGGCTGACATAGGCTCCTGTCAGCCCCACCAGGCCAGGCGGGACCCCCTCACTCTGGCCTTTCCTGAGCCAGAGCTACATAGACACAGCAGCATTTGGTACAGCTGTGGGAGGAGAGCCCCTGGGACAGCAGGGCCCAGGGCTTAAGGGCCAGTCTGGGCAGAGACCACACTAGGAGGTGGCCACATCCCACATGGCTAGCTCAGGATGGGTTGGGGGACAGTAGGTGGGGGCTGGCAACCTTGGCCCCGGGGCTGTCCTGGGCTCCGTAGCTGGCCGTGGACTGACTGAGATTTCTTGGATATGACACCAAAGAAACAAATTGGACTTCATTAAAATTAAAGTTTTGTGCATCCAAAGATCCTGTCCACAAGTTAAAAGGCACCCCACAGAATAAGCGTAATACTGCTCACTCAGTCGTGTACTGGGTAAGTGACTACAGCATCATACAGGAACTCCTAAACCCACCCACAAGAAGCAAAGGACTTGAATAGACATCTCTCCAAAGGAGAAACAGGAGTGTGGTCAGTGAGGCGTAAGGAGATGCTGTCACTGGGGAGATGCAAATCTGGGGTAGACGACCACACTTCCAGCCCAGGAGGATGGCTAGTCGCAAAAAGCTAGAAAACCAGTGTTGGCAGGGACGCAGAGAACGGAACCAGAGGGCCGCGGCGAGGTGCTGCACCCTATCAACGACCGAGGGGCAAGTTCTCACAGTGGCCAACAGGATGACCAGCGAGCCAGCTGTTCCATTCTGGTGTACACCCAGAAGAACCGAAAGCAGGGTCTCAAGGGGATCTGTACCCCACATTCACAGCAATGTGGTTCACAGCCATTAAAGTGTGGAAACAACCCAAATACCACAATGGATGAACGTATAAGCAGAACAGGGCCCATCCAGGCCACGGAATGTTACTCGGCCTTGAAAAGGAAGGAGATTCTGACACACGCCATGGGGTGGATGAGCCTGGGGGACATTATGCTCAGTGAAAATTGCAGACATACAAAGACAGACTGTGAGATAGACAGGGAGGGCCAGGGAGAGTGCACGAGGGGTGTTGAAAGGGGCCATTTTCATATGGGGGAGATGAAGAGTTCTGAGGATGGACAGCTGAGGGTCTCACAGCAAAGCCAATGTGCTTAATTCCTCTATGCTGAGCACATGAAAGTGGTTAAGCTGGCAACGTTAGTATTTATCGAATATAAAAGGGAGGGAAATAACATTTGAAAGGTGGTTGCCTGGAAGAGAGGAAAGAGGTGAGGAGGCCCAGACTCGTTTCTCAAGCCTTGTAGAAATACCTCGTTCTTTACACCTTGTGCACATACCTTCAGATAAAAAGAGAATGGAAACCATAGCGACAAAACCAGGGACCCATCGTTGGACAAAATACAGACATGGGTGTTGCGGGGTTGTGTTGTGGGCCTGTGTCCCATCCTCACCCTCTGGACGCTGGATAGGTGGGTGGGGCTGAGCTGCCCCCTCCTTATCCACATGCACCCTGCTCCCCCCCCAAAGGAGCTGGTTCCCCACTCTTGGCCCCCGCTGTGCCTGTGGGGCTCTCCAAGATGACAAGGACATTCATTCCCACCCACCCCCAAACCAGCTGGTACACCCACCTTGCCATCCTCATGGTAGACGAAGATGTTGCGAGTGCTGTTGTCCTTCAGGTAGGTGACCTGCAGGCCATGCGGGTGGCCAATCTTGGCAGGCTGGAAGGTGGCGTTCAGATGCTCGATCTTCATGATGGCCTTGGGCTCCTTGGCCTGGGAAGCAAGGCTGGGCCTAAGCGCTGGGAAGTGATTGAGCTGGTACTGTGTGGCTTTGGGGACGCCTCTGAGTATCTCTGGGCTTCCCAAACCTGGGCTTCCTGGTCTGTAAGTGGACAGCAATACCTCTCCTAGGAGTTGTGGGGTGTCCCAACAACTGGAAGACCCCTCCTGTGACTCCAGTGCTCAGCTTCTCGTCCCCCACCTCCCACTTGGCCCCCCCTCTCCCGGGTCCTTGTCCTGCCCCCTGAACTCTTGTCTCCTGAGCTGGGGACTGTGGGCCATGCGAGGCTCGGGTGTCTGACCTAGAGCTGATGGTGTGGGGCCTTGGGGAGCCTCCAGACTGCCCCCATGTGCTGATAGGGGCCCAGGGCCACTTCAGCATCTACTTGCTAGATGGGGTGGCTACCGGCTGCAGCTCTCTGCCCTGTTCAGGCCCGGGGGTGCCCATTAGGACAGGCCCACCCACTTCCCCAGCATCACTCAGCCAGGCCTGGAGCCTGGAGTGACTGATGAGGGTGGATGGGGCATGCCCCCTTGGAGGTAGTGTGATGTCACGGGGGACTGAGATGGGGTGTCCCCATGAGGACAACATGTCCCCAAAGGGAACTGGAGGTGGTGTATACTCACCGGGTGGCCTGACCCCAAGGGAGGAGGCCTCGCGGCTCTAGGGATTGTATGAGGGCAACAGGGCTTGGTGCCACCATCAGGGGCTGGCATCCAACTGCCCCAGGCGCGGTGGGCAGCCAGGATGCTGCCCTAGGACAGGAACCCCTCCCTCCCCCGTGCCTGGCTCACATCATTTCTGTTGAAGTATTTCAGGGCCCCCTCTCGTTCCGTGAGCACAAACTTCCGGCTTAAAAATTGCCCATTGTCCCGGCCACGCTTCCAAAGAAAGCCCTCTCGGTATCCTGGGGGGAAAAAGTGGAGACGTGGAGTCAGGTGTCAGGATGGGCTCGGGCAGAGGCCGCCAACCCGATCTTTCCCACTGCCAGTCTGCCGTCTGCAGGGCTGCCAGCCCTCGGTGTGGGGGCAGCTGGGTGTAAGAGCGAGCATATGAGCCCGGGGCGTCCGCCACAGCCTGCCCACTGCCCACAGGGCACCAAGGGCCTGGCCGGACTTGCCTGTGGGTGATGGGGGCTCGGGGGCTGTCTGACACTCTTCTCTTTGGAAGTGTAGCAATCAGGCCCAGGGCAGCCACCGCCTGACAGCACAGTGGTTACTCAGGTGGGCCCGGGGGCCGGCACGTCCTCAGAGGGAGGGGTTGTGGCCCTGACCTCCAGCACTGTGAATCGTTGGTGTTTTAAGCTGCAGACTATGTGGCTGCTCACTACAGCAGCCATAAGAAAGGACACTGCACCCCAGCATCTCCCCTCCTTCCAGCATCGTGTCCCCTTCAGCCCTGCCCTTGGCCTGTCCTGGGACCACGTGTGCAGAGAGCCAGTAGCCGTGGCTCTGCTTCACTCGACACCTCCTTGGGGGAAGCCTCGTCAGAACTGTTTCCTCCTATAGCCCAGTGGGACCCTGTGGGGGCTGGACAGTGGCCAGGCCCTGTGGGTGGACCCCAGGGGCTTCCACAGCGGCTCCGCTGAGCCCAGCATGGGCACGTGTTCTGGGGACACTTGCCTTCCATGGCACATAAGGAGTAGGGCGGCAGGCCCGTCAGCCCGTCCATCTGCTTAGACCCTGGCTTCAGGTGAGCTTTCTCTAGAACCAGGTCCTGCCACCATGTGGGCGGAGCACCCCCACCCTCAGTGCTTCTCCATGACAAGAGGGGTGCTGTTTGTGCCAGCAAGAGTGCCTGCTGCTTTCATCATACAATAGCCCCCAGAGTTCAGGCTGGCAGCCTTGGGTTCATTGCTGATGCCACTGCTCGGCCCTGACCTCACTGCCTGCCCTCCCCTCAGCTGCCCGGGCAGCCCCATCCCCAATACCATGGAGACAAGGGCTATTTTCTTTGCCCTCAAGACATGCAGCCATAAAAAGACCTCAGCCTGGCGTCGGGCACATGACGCCTGGCGCCTCCTGGTCTGTTGTGGGACAGTGCCAGAAGGGGCCTGCTTTCTGCACAACTCAGGTCCCCACACCCTTCCGCACCTCGGGGCCCATGGCTTGCCCTCCACCCCTGCACACACGCGACAGGCAACAAGTCTACCACCTGTCCTTTCTCAAGCCAAACTGGGCCCTGCCTGGAGTGTTTGTTGACTGACTAAAGGAGCCCTGGGTAAGCTGACAGTCCACTTGGCTTCAGGTCAAGTCTGACCTCTCCGAGTTAGCTGAAGGTAGACACAGGAGGCCCCAGGCACAGCAGCAGCAGCCCAGGGTAATGTAACTGCCAGGACACCACACGACAAGGCCCACTAGACACTACATAGATGGCTCATTTAAGCCCCCAAAGGACCTCTGTGGCACATTCTTAGGCTATGCTATTTACAGAGAAGGAAACAGGCTTAGCGGTGGGACGGCCTGGTACAAGGTCACCTGGCAGCAGGTGCAGGAAACCAACAGCTACCCAGGGTGGGCTGCCTGCCTGCCCTTCCCCTGGAGACCAGCAGGCGGCAGCAGTGCCTCATCTCTCAAGGTGCCCAGGGCCAGGTGAGGCCAGAAGAGCTCCCTTCTATTCTTATTCCTACATGTCCTGGCTCCATCAATTACCCCCCCCCCCGACCAGATGAGAGGGACGTGCAGGGTAGGGGGTGCTGGCTTGGGTCTGCCGGCTCCCGAACCAGTGCGTGTTCCCAGTGGCGAGTTGCCAGGATGCCTAATGTCAGGCTTCGGGACAGTGACTGTGCTTTGGAGCCAATTTGGCCCCCAGTCTGTAGTGAGCAAACCACCCCCCCCCCAGCCAGTGGCCTGGGGTGCAGGACATCGCCTCACCAGCCTGCGCCCTGGGAACCCGCTGTGGCCTCTCCGTCACGGTCAGGGAGCTCGGCCTGAGACACCTGCCAGCGGCAGGCTCCAGCTTCCTGCTGTCTCCCCTCCCCTCACAGGCAGAGCAGCGGCCAGCTCAGCGTCAGTGGACACCTGCTGTGAGCTGGGGCCGGCCACCCAGGGGCCACCCGCCGTGAAGCCGAGGGTCCGTTGCGCTCCCCTCCCCAGGAAGCCCTCTTTGAAGCCACCCGGAACGTTGGGAGACCCACCACTCACCACAGAAGGTAAAGCCAAACCAGCCCACAAAACCAGGTCAGGGGGCACGAAGCGGCACGGGCGCCCCACCCCCAGAGGAAGTGCACACGGCCGACACTCTGGAAAGCAGCCTGGCGGTTTCTTGTAAAGTGACGCGCTCACTCCCGTGTGACCCGAGAGAGCTAGGAAGTGTTCACAGGAAGCCACTGCGCCCTGTCCACGGCGGCCCCACTGTCATCATCAGCACAGGCCAGACACACGCCCCGACCTCAGCCGGCAGCAAGGCACTTCTGTGGGCAGAACGTCAGCAGGGGCCACGCAGGCACAGGCCACCCCCCGAGCGGCAGCTGTGTGGCCTGTGGGCACCAGGCCAGCTGCAGGCCCCGCGCACTGCGGTCCCACTGCTGACCTTCCAGAAAAGGCGAACTCTAGAGCCACAGGCAGGGCAGCAGGGGTGCGTCTCGGGGGCACCGGCTGTCAGCACGCAGGGTTCACGAGGGGAGCTGTCTCACGCTTGTGGCACGGGCCTGCGTGCTGCACCAGGGTGTGGGCGCAAGTTAGACTCCTGGCCGTGACTCACACTGTGTGCTCCGGAGGCAGGAAGGCTCGTGGGTACGCCCCAGGGTGGCCTGCGCCCGCCTGGCTTCTGTCTAGGGGTGCCCTGCTGGAGAGCTCTGGGCCTGTTGTCCTCTGGGTCGGGAGCCAGGGTTAGAAGCTCCAGGGAAGCTGAAGCCCAATTACCTGCTGCAGCCACTTTCCCGCGAGGGCCTGGGGAGCCGCGTCTGCCCTTCCCCACAAGAATGTCCAGAGCGGAGCAGCCATGCCTGCCACTGTAGCCACGGGCACAGGCAGCCCGGCCCGGCCCGTTCTCCTCTGCTCCTGCAGGCCGGCCCACCCCGCTTGGGGGAGCCGCTGGGTCTCTGCTGCTCAGGCATGGGACCACACCTCAGTTGCCCATATGTAGAAAACAGCCCCGTAAGCCCTCCCAGTGCTAGCCTGGGTTTGTCCTTTCCACAGCACCTACCAAGTCTTCAGGCAGCCTAACACTGAGGGGCTGGGGCCGTGGGGGGCCAGGCGGCGCGCTGAGCGTGGGCGCATGGGCACATCCCTGAGGCTGGGCTCACCCCACCGTCACCGGTCAGTCAGGGCTCCAGGCTGTGCCCACTGGGAACTGTTCCTGACTGGAGCCCTGCAGCCCCCACAGAAACTTCAGCCCACACCAGGCAGGCCCCAGGCAATCTGCCACCTCAGATTCCTGGACACCCTGACTGAAGTGGCCAAAAGAAGCCGTTGGGAAAGGGCAGAGGCCAAGGCTCAGTAGGCGACCTGTGACCCGGGCTGGCCCCTTCTGAGAAGAGCTCCCTGTCCCATCCTTCACCCTGGCCCCCACCGGCTATTGGGGTGGGCCCCCCCACCCTGGCCCCACCGGCTATTGGGGACCCCCCCCCGACATGCAGGGGAAAGGCCTGGGCAGGACCAGTGGTAGACAGTGTTCGTGTCTCAGGGCTGCCAGACAGCTGATCCCCCCCACACTGACCTTGGACCAGGTCAGGGATTTAGGGAGGGTCTCTCCAAGGAGTCCCACTCACCCCTGACCCCAGCCCCTCGGGGCTGGGCACTGGGGCACAGGCCACAGTGGGCAGCCAGCAGGTGCCCAGACACCACGTTCGGAGGTGCGTGTGGGGCACTTCTGCACTGTGCGTCTGAGCGCGTCTGCTGGGACATCCTCCCGTGTGCCGTCACGGGGAGCCCGGCGGCAGGGCTCTGCCCCATGTCCCCAGGATGCTGCCTGACTTCAGCAAGATCACACGGAGGCCAGCAGGGACTGGAGACCACGTCGTCCTGGTCCCCAGGAGGAAGGCCACCGGAGGCAAGGCTGGGGTGGGCTCCCCACAGCCCCTCCACCCTTCCTTGTGGCCCCCCGCATCCACAAACGGGCTTTTTCTCTGTACAGCATCTTCCTTCCGGCAGTCAAATGTGTGGACACCGGCAGGGTTGTCCTGGAACCTGGCAGAGCTGGGCGGGGCCGGGTTACCCAACAGCACCTCTCCCCCATTCCACTTGCCCCAAACCCGGGGATCCTGACACAGCTCTAACCTGTAAAATGCTACCAGATATGGGCACAGTCCTGAGTCTGCCCAGCTCCCCGGAGGCACCAAGAGGGCCCTGTCCCACCCCCCAGCAAAGCCCCACAAACTACCGCTCTGCCCAGCCCCTACCAGCCACACTAGGAACCCCCAGCTGTGTCCAGGTCTTCCCCCATGACCCAGGTGGAGAAACCACGGCCAGGGAGCAGGACTCTGGCACTCACTCACCGGGCTCTGGGCCCGCCTGCCCCACGGTGACATTTAGAACAAAGGTGGGACCAGAGCAGCAACTCTGGCCTCCACCCTGCTGTGCAGAAACAGGCACCGAGGAGGGGCTGCCCCTACCACGGGAGAAGGGGCCAGGGGGAGGCAGAGGGCACACCCTGCGGAGGAGGGGTCTGAAGCCTCAGCAGGAAGTGCTGTGTCTGTCAGTGCCTGGTCACCAGGGGTGGCTGGCCCTGGCCTTCTGGACAACAGGGGGCATTGTCCCACCCATGAAAGACAGCCATTGAGGCTGGGGCTCAAGGCGGGGGACAGTCTGGGGAGGGAGCCAGGAGCAGCTGTTACCCAGGATCACCCCCAGTAAGCAGGGGCCTGCTGGGAGCTGGGGCAGGGTAGGTGGAAGGTTCCGCTTGGCCTGGGCACCCTTATCTTGGGAGGGTACTGGCATCTCCCATGACCTTGGCCACGGGTGGCAGCTAGAGGTTGCCAGGTTGGCACTGGCTGCCGAGGGCCCACCTGTCACAGACTGGCCCTGAGATCTCCCCCATGCCCTTCACTCCCTGACACCAGGTCCTTCAGGGCCTTCTGCACTCACGCAGGGCGAGGCTGTGCAGTGACGAGGAGAGGCACCGGCAGGTCTGCCGCGGGCCAGCATGCCCAGGATGCCTGTGTCCAGCGCCACCTGCTGCCAGCCTGGCTCTGCCCTCAGTGCCCCTCAGCCCAGCCTCCAGGCATCCTGCTGGCAGAGTCTTATCCTCTGGCCACCCAGGGTGGGGAGAGGGAACATTCAGGTCCACAGGAGCATGCCCCTGGGGGCAGAGGTCACGTTTCCAGGCAGCCTTAGCAAATGCAGGGGTGGGGGTGGGTACAGGATGTGCTCTAAGTGAGGGGTTCACTCGAACCCTTACCAACCAAGAGTTCCCAGAACCTTCCTGACCCCAACTCAGGCTGCCTCCCCACACCCATCTAGTGGTTACTGGTCTCCCAGAAACTGAGACGACTCCCAAACCAGACTCGGGGGAGCGCAGCCGTCTGTCCCAGCCCAGCCCGTGCAAGGACACCAGGTGCGCCCCTCAGACTCTGCTGTCCCTGGCAGGGGAGGTTGGCCTCAGCTCCCGGGCCAGAGGCCGCCGCGGGAAGGCTCAGGCAGGGAGTGGCCAGCGGGAGGGTGCCTCTCCGCGGCGGGGTCCGGACGCCGCTCCCGCCAGCACCAGCAACGCTGCTGTTTTCTGTACTGAACTAATTATAGACGTGAAGGAAAGTTGCAAAAATAGTACAGAGAATCACATACCCATGGAACGACTGACATGCTGCTACATGTGCCACGCGGGGGGCGCCCGGTGGCACCGGAAGCCAGAGCAAGAGACCCCAAACCACGTGACCAGTTAAATGAAAAGCCAAGAGGCAAACCCTCAGATGAGGGGTGCAGGGCCAGGGAGTGGCGGTGGGTGCAGATGGGCCCCTGAGCGTGCTCTGGCCGTCTAACCCGCTCAGTCACCCAGGAGGGCCCCAGATGGACCGTACACCTCATGACGGAACCAGATGCTCCCCCCCAGCCTGGAAACGAGTGACTCGTGCTGGTCAGCGACTTTCTGCGTGCCCCGCCCCCGATCGGGCTGTCTGGGGGCTCTGGGCTGGGGTGGTGCGTGTTGGCACCGGCCCAGATCCGTGCGGTTTCCGCCAACAGGACAAGTGGCAGCCCTCCGAGCCTTCAGGCGCCCGCTCGGCAAGGGGGGGTCCTCTGAAGGGTAAAAGCTCAGCCTCCCCGTCTTGACTTCAGGAGAGATGCTTTCCCAAGCCCCGCGTTCCCCCTTCCTCCCCACCAGACACTTCTGCATTCGCCTATGCTGTGGGAAAGTGCTTTTGTGGCAGGCCCAGGGCAGGCAGGAAGTGCCCGTGGGAATCCCCCCTGGTGCCCTCAGAGCGCGGGTAGGCCATGGGGAAGAGCTTCAGGGGATTGCCAGTCCCAGTCCTGTGGTGAGAGATGCCCTGTCCATGAGGGGAGGGAGAGGCAGGGAAGGGACAGAAGCATCAGGGGCCTGCTCCCCTCCACCCAGCAGAGTGGGGGAACGGACTGGTCCAGGGACACTGGGACTGGCCTGAGAGGGGCTCCTGGAGAGCATGTGGGGTGCCGGGTAACAGAAGAGGTCAGTGGGGTCTCAGTGACCAGTGCTTTGAGGAACAAGTCTGGGACTAGTGGGGATTCCTCTCCACATAGCTGTGTGCCCGTGCCCCAAGGGGGGCTTGGTGGGGGCCTCGCTGGCGGTGGGGAACCAAGCTAACAGCTCCCAGAGTCCCGCAACCCCGGGTTCCGTTAAATCCAGTTAAACCTCAGGGCTCAGCAGGGTGGGGGGCCAGTGGCCGGCAGCAGCACTGACAGTCGGGGAGCACGGCTTTCAGGCGCTGGTGACAGCCACTGTGCTTCACAAGGGGCCTCGGCCCTGGGGTCCCCACTGCTGGAGCAGCCGCTGCCCCTCTGTGGGTAAGAGAGGAGACCTGGGTCCCCTCTGCTGGACGGAGCCTTGCAGGCCAGGAGATGAAGCAGAGCATGGAGTGCTGCAGCTGGGGTGCTGTCCTGAGGATCCAGGTGCTCAGAGGTCAGGAGGGCCGTGCCCTGCAGTGGGCACGTGGGGAGGCCTTCTCTGTGCCAGTGTTGCCAGGTGGAGGAGGCGCCAGTTCACGAGGCCGCGTCCTCACACCATTCTGGGTCTGGGAGGTACCCCACTTTCAGGGCCTGCCACGCTGCAGGTGGTCCACATACCCAGTTTACTTCCCCTGCTCAGCAGCCCCAGAGTCCTCTTGTTGCCCCTGCTGAACTGCCCACCTCACTTAAGCTGCTCCCGGCCCAGGTCGACAGGCAAAGCCCTTGCGTGGGTCCTCTGCCCTCTATACACAGGCACAGCCGCCAGCGCAACACCCTGAGGTGGCAGCCCTGGGCTGCAGGCTGCGGCCTCCCACAGCCATGAACGGGCAGGCTGGAGAGGGCCCTCAGCCCCTCACCCGCAGGAGGGTCCAGGGTCTGAGCCTTGCATGGCTGCCGCCTTCAGAGACCTCAGAGGCCTCCGGCTTAGACACAGAGGCCACCCTCACAGCCCCTCCCCTGCCCCGCCCCACACCTCAGGCTTCATGAGAGGAGCAGCCCAGCACCCGGGGTGGGGGGGGTGGGGGGGGAAGCGACCTGGGAAGGAGGTGCTTTAGGCAGGCGTCTCCCTGGCTTTGGGGGTTGTTGCCACCTCCAGAGCACGGTGGTGTAGGGGGAGGTGGGGAGAGGCTTGACCCAAGCTGACCTACATGCCTGGAAGCAAATATACCCACAAAACACTCTCCAGACACCGCTAACGGGCAAGGTCTGTTGGTTCTGCTGCCTGGCGTGAACCTCGGACCCCAGTTTTCCTGTGGAGGACCACAAGTTCCAGAAGCAGGAACACCACATCCCCCGGGTCAGGGTGACCGGGCACACCCATCCCTGAGCAGTGAGGACCAGAGGCGAGAGACTCCTCCACCCACTGTGAGGGTCACACTTGCCCTGTCCCACAGCGCCTGGGAAGGGCTGGGGCCTCAGCGCTGCTGGAGTCCACGGGCAGCAGGAGGGTGCTGCTGAGCCAGAGACGAAACTGCAAAGTGGAAGCCAGGTCCTGGCAACACTGACCAAATGCCTAGATCGAGCTGTTCCTGAAGCCAGACCCATGACACGAGTCAGTCTGGTTCCTTTCTCTCGCCCCAGCTGAGCTGGATTTTCTTTTGCTTGCAACAAGAGCATCCTGATGCAGGAACAGACCTCAGTTGTGCCGGCTCAGCCCGCACCTGCCTCTGAAATGAGGCTGCACCCCTGTTTCTTGCACCACCCGCAAACAACGAGCCGGGACACAGCCAAGCACAAAGCTGCCCTCACCTGCAGAATAGGGCTCCTGCTTCTCGGGGTGAGTGAACTCCTGCCGCTCGTACTTGGCCCGGATCCACTGTTCCCGCAGGAGTCTGAGAAGAGAAGAAAGAATGAGCCTCACCCCCCTGAGCCTGGCTGCTGGGCTCGGAACCCTGTGGGCACGGCCTGGTCAGCCAGAGGCTGGCGTTGGGGTAGGTGCCCCAGCCTCGCAGAGGGCAGGCCAACGGGCCCTCGTCAGGTTTCACCACTAACATCTCCCCTTTTTAAAAAACTGAGCATATATACCATGGAAGTTACCTGCTCAGGGCTGTGCCCCGCCGCCGCCCTCTCCCTCAGGAACAAGTCACGCCCAGACAGAAGGCCGGAGCAGTCGCCGCCCAGACCCCAGCCAGGACCCCAGCTCCAGCCTCTGGATTTGCCTGTCTGGACGTTCCTGTAAGCGGCCACACGACCCGGCCTGTGACGGCTTCCGCAGGGCAGGACAGGTGGAGGGTGTGGCTGTAATATGGCCAGGGCTTCGGTCCCTCCCCTGGCCCCTGATGGCCACTGACCAGCTCCCTTAACATGCTGCGGGAACTGCGGGCCGGCCCGGGGCTGAGTGGGGGAGGCCAGGACCCAGCCCTCCTGCCCTGGAGCCCCCCCAGCCCCGGGAGCCCCAGCGGTGCTTGGCGAGGCCACAGCCTGTCAAGGTGGGGGCTGGCTCTGTAAGGAGCCCCATGCTCCGGCCGTTACCGCCAGGGCGGCCCGTGCCTGGCCTCGGTCCACACGGGCCCTCCCTCGCCTGGCCTCTTCCACCACCCCCTCCCCAGGGCCCCCTTCCCCCAGCCAGCTGCACATGGGAGCGGACGCCCTTGCCCGCACTTCTCACCGTCCTGGCTCTTGCGGTGCCCACGAGACCCCAGGAGCCCGGATGGGCCTCACGTCCAGCCCTCCCCCCCTGCACCTACACCTCTCCCTCCTTCCCACTCTGCACCCCTCGTGCCCCTGCCCTCCCTCACCTCTCAGCTTTGCTCAGAAGTCCGTGTGGGGCCTCCGGTCCCCTGGGCCGCGACACAAGCCCCACCCCAAGCCCGAGTGAACTCGTGCGGCGGCAGTCACCCGAGAGGCCGTCCACTGGCGGGTTGACGGTCCGTGCCCACCCCGCGCCAGTTCCCTGCGCACGCGTGCTTCGCATCCACCCCAGGCCGGGTCGCCTCGCTGTCAGTTCTTGCAGGTGAAGACAATTTTGGAGCCTTGGCACATTTTTATAGGCCTCTAATGCGAATCAGGGCCAGGCCAGCGCTCCCTCAGGATTTCCCTGGCAGTCTCGCATCCTGTCCTCCGCCTCAGAGGGACGCCGCCTTGTAGCCCCTCGCCCCTCGGCCCAGGCGTGCCCCATGCTCTGCGCCCGTAATTACCGGGGCGCACGCAAGACCGCAGGTGCAGGTGGTGGAGACGCTAATGGAGGGAGAGCGGGCAAAGCCTGGATTTTAACTCACTTACCCTGTGACACGGTTACCACCTCCTATTGCTGATGGAACCCTCTGGCTCTGCTGGGTGGGCAGGCTGCCTGGGTCCCCTCGTGACCCAGGGCTGTCGGCTAGGTCCCCATCACCTTCTTGGTCCCCATCACATCGGCCTTTTGCCTCGGGGGTCAGCATGTAAGGACCCACAGACCCGGGCCCTCTGGCCTCTCCTGGCCGGGCGGACCAGACCGGAGCCCCTCCACCTCACAGGAGACGGCTCTCGCACCGTTGCTGGCGACCGAGACAAGGCCAGACTCTGGGAAGGCGGAAGCACCTGCTGGCCTGCCTATGCCAGGTGTCTCCCGAGGGGCTCCTGGGGGTGCAGACCAACAGACGAATGCAGCTGAGACGGGGGGCCTGAAGGGCCCGGGGAGGTGCCCAGGAACCTCCCTTTCTGCTCTTGACTCCGGGTGCTCCGTTTCCCCAGGGATCTGCCCTACAACTTGGTAAAGGCTGTGGGTCTCTGGACCACGCACAACCCAGGTGTGTTCACCCCAGGTGGAGGGCGGGATACAGCCTCAGCACGAGTCCTCGCCTTTGAGGAGCTTCTGTTTCCAGTCGGTTACACAGAACAGAACAAACAGGAAATCTCTGGCTTTACTCAGGGCCCCATGTGGTCAGCATAAAGCTCCCACACAGTTCTCCTGCTAAAGCCCCCTACCCCTACTCTGGCTGAGACTCTGAGGACCCCTTCTCTGTGGGTGTGCTGGAACTGTTGTAAAAAAGTTGCCCCAAACTCGGCATCTCAAAACAGGAGCTGTCTCTTTTGGAGGACAGCCTACGTCAAGTGCAGACGGGGCTGGCTCCTTCCGGAGCACAGAGCAAGTCCGTGCCGGCCCTGGGTCTGTGGGCGCACCTCTCCCTCCTCTGCCCCATCTTCGTGTGGCTGCTGCCTGTGCATGTGGCTCAGCCGTGTCCCCACTTCTCAGAAGACACTAGCCAGTGCACTTAGGGCCGCCCTAACCCACGGGATCTCATCTGCAAAGACCTAGTTTCCACATAAATCCCCCCTCGCTGGTCCTGAGCTGAGGACGACACTCACGCCCTGACAGGGTGTTGTACAGCCCTGGGGAGGGAGCTGGTACCCCCTGCCCCCAGTTCCCTGTCTTTATGATCTCAGAGCTGAGAGGACCCAGTGCCACATCTGTGTGGAGGAGCCTGGCACGTCACTGTGATGCAGCCTTTGAAGAAACTTCTCACTGACATCTGGCACCCGTATCTACAGACAGCCCCACAAGGCCTTGCCCACACCCCATCAGGGAGGGTTCCATACCACATCCTTGGCACAGGCAGGTGCGGGCCCTTGGCTTACCCTTGTGCACATGGTCTTCCCAGACCTGGCAGCAGAATCCAGGTGCCCAACAGCCTGAACCCTTGGTCAATGGGGTCACTAAGGCAGTCAGGTCCAGGCTGCCCTGGCCTCCTAAGGCCAGCTGGTCCGGTCTCCCGCAGCAGGGAAAATCAGCGTGGAAGCAAGTACCACAGAGGGACAACATCCCTTCCTGCGTCTGGAGGGCTCCAGGCGTGTGTGCTGTGCTCAGAAGCCACTGCCCCTCTAGTCAGTGCTAGGGATCTGGGGCCAAGAGGGGTCCCCTCAAGCCAGGCGCGGGGCTGTGCTGGCTGGCCAAGGCTGACAGGAGCTGGGAGGGCAGAGGCAGCCAGGCGCGTGGGGTTACCACGTCCTCCACGTCCTGACTTTTGGGGAGAGCTCCCACCCAGCCTAGCCTGGCGCTGCTCAACTCTGCACCCCAGGGTCCACTTCTTCTAATGCCCCTATAGGGTACTTCCAATCCCAGGCAGCACTGAACTCCCTTCATCCCCCAAGCCTGGTGCAGGCTGGAGGTTGGGGGGCACCTACTGAATGGTCTGGACTTGAAAAGTGACCAGCACAGGAGAGTGTCAGTGCTTGGGTGGCTGGGGTGCTTGCTCAGGGGGCTCTGGGGGTGCAGGCCCTGTCTCCAGCTCACCTGCCTGCGTCTTTGCCACGTTGCGGGCATCTGCCTCTGATGATCATTGCTGAACGCGTCCATCTCCCCACAGTTTTGTCGGTCTCAGTCACAGGTTGAGGACCCATTAGTGTGTGCCCCGCCCTGAGGTCGGGAGACTGCACTTTGCTGCTTGGGGAGATGGCCCACCTCAGGCCTCATTTTTCCCTTCTGTACAGTGAACAACCTTCCCAGAAAACTGCTGCCCCTGGTCTTAGCTTCCTGGAGCCTGCTGCACAGAGCTCTGTTCAGAGTTTTCCTTTTGTCACTGTGGAAAACAGGCGAGGACCACGAGCTAGGGTCCTTGGGGCTGCCTCACGGCTTGTAGCCCGCCTGCCCTGTCCCCACCCTCCTGAGGTACAGTCAGGCCTCCTACCACTTCACCTGCATGACCTGAGGTTACTGTGGGTCATTGGTGCCCCCGCAAAAGCATATGCTGCAGTCCTAGCCCTTCTCCCACTAGCCCCCCAGATTGCACCTTTATTTGGAAACAGGAGACTACTGATTAATAAATAGGCCAAATAGCCAGGGGGGGGGGCAGGGGACAGGGGGGCAACTGTGAGCCCAGAGTGACGTGGCTCCCTCTAGGAGGCGATGAGATCACCTGCAGAGGAGGACAGGAGACTGTTTACACACCAAGGGTAGAGGCCTCAGGAGAAACCCTGACCTTGGACTTCCAGCTCCAGCCTGTGAGAAGCCGCTCTCCTGCTGTTTCCGCCTCCTCCCCAGGAAGCTCACACGGCATCCTTTCACCAGGGATACTGCTGGGGGGGAGGCGGGGAGGGCCGGGAATTGGGCTCTAGACCTCTCCTGGTGCCCACTGCTGCCAGGGAGCTGCTCACCCACTGCCTGCTGGCCCATCACAGGCAGCAAGGAGGGGGCAGTTTCCCTCAGAAATACAACAGGAGCAGGTTATGACTTTCCCGGCTGAGATCGAAACCTGCCTGGGTCCCACCTCTCTCTGACTCACCAGCCTGCCACTAGCAACTACCGTGTGGCTGGATCCTCTGACTGCCCCACGCTTACCTTTGAGCTCCGAGCTCCAGACCAGACTGGGGAGGGACCAGCTGCCCAGAGCATTCGCTCTGGCCACACGGCGCACAGCCTCATCCCACCCTCTTGATGCCTGGTGGGTGGGGGGACTCGGGGGTCCTCCCTGACTTACAAATGGGAAGCCAGATGCCTCCCTGGGCCTGCTGCCGAGCCCTGCTCAAAGTGAGTGAGACCACCTGCTGTCCACGTCTGCCGAGAGTTTACAAGGGGCTCCTGGCCCAGCTCCTCCGTCCCGCAGCCCCCGCAGTATGCACAGGCACGCGCGCCACCCATGGCCTTGCAACTGCTGGACCAGGGTCCCACACCTCCCTGGTCTCCTGGCTGCCTGCGCGATTCTCCCAGCCAGCTGAGGAGCTTCTCCAGGGCCCACCGCTCTGGCTGAGGTTTGCCTCTACCTGGCTGACTGCCTCCATGCATGGTCAGCGGTGCAGTCATATGCTGGAACTTTCGCATGAGGGTAGGAGAAGCCAGGGTCAGCTGGGGACAGAATCTGTTCTTACCCGGACACTGGACACTAGGGAAGGGTGTCCCTTGAATGGTCTCTGTGAGCAGGTCACAGGCCCTGGATGCCGAGGGCCCTGTCAAGCGTCCCCGCAAGGACCTGCACCTGTGGTCAGCCTGTGCCCTACAGCCGCTCAGACGGGGATGCAGGTCATGCAAACGACCCAGACCACAGAGCAGCCTGCGGCTAAGCCGACACAACCCTGTCTCAGAATAGCTGCCCGCAGCCTGGCTGATTCATACCGAGAGCTGGGTCTGGGGTGCCGGGTTCCCTGTGAGCCCAGAAATGGCAGGGGCAGCAGTCTCAGGATGTGGGCAGGTCCCTGGGCCTGGCCGGAAGGGGTGGAATGTGTGTTTATGGGCGGGGGGGAAGGGAGTGGAGGTCACAGGCAATGAAGGAGGGCGAGGCCCTGAGCGATCTGTCGGCCTGTCTCCTGTCCCTGAAGTGTGATCCCAACTGGCTCTTCCCCCAACTCGCAGGTGCCGCCGGAGAAAGCCAAGGACTGCACTGCGCCTGGAACACGCAGCCGCGGCTGCTGTGATGTGGAATGCACCTGTGTAGCAGAGCCCCGCCGGCCGGCACGCAGAGCGCCTGCTGCGGGGGCCCCGGCCTACTGAACCAGAATCGGAAACAGGAGCACGCACCAGCCTGGAACTTGAGGGCCGCACACGGTGGGCCAGGGAGCCGTGAGCTTACAGAGCCAGTCGCGGGAGACAGGCTGAGGCAACACGAGGCAGGGCTGGCACTGAGCCGGGCACGGTAACTCGAGGCCCTGACAGTGAGCTGTCTCTCAGGGACCCCACAGTCTTAGACATGGCAGGCCTGGAAGATGGGCAGTCTGGGTCCTCACCCCCTTCCAAGAAGGGTTGTCCCGGTGGCCTGCCTGAGAGCAAGTGTGAGCCCTGCCTGCCACGGATAAGTTCCCAGCTTGGCCATCAAGATCTCTGTCACTCTGGAGAACACACTCTGGCCCTCAGGGACCTTGTCAAAAGTGGGGATACAGAATGGTTTAAGAGCTGTTCACCTCCAAGCCACAGCTAAGCCAAAGTAGACATGGACCAGAAAACTGACTGCAAAAGTGTGCATCCCCACTCCCTCAGCCCCCCTCGCAAGAACCCACACCCAGCATAGGGGTGCTCAGCCAACCCACCTGCCCGAGCCCTCTAGGCCCCCGCCCGTTGCTGCCCCCTGGCCAGGGAACCATCTTTGGAGCCACCCAGCTGGACTCCAGGGCCCTCGGCTGTCAACAGCAGCCTGACAAAGCCCCTTTGTTACTTACTGACAATCGGCGAACGTGGGCCGGTAGTAGAAGGCCGGCACTTTGGACTCGTAAGTGGCTCGTGCAGCGTTGTTCCCATGGGAGGCCATGAACTACAAGAGACAGAGCGGGTCAGCACCGAGGCAGGGGAGACCCCAGGGCCCTGGCAGACTGACCTCTGCTGCCCAGAGCTTCCTTCCACCTCCTGCCCTAGGAAAACCCTGACAGGGGGAAGGGCTCAGTGTCTCTCCAGCAAGATGGTGACTAAGAGGATATCCCCCTCCTTGGAAGGGTGACTGAGCCCTGTCCCACCTTCAGCCCCCCCATCACCCAAGGCTAGCACCCTAGGGCAGACTTATGCTCACTGCCTAAGGTGCCCCTCTCTGCCTCATGCAGCCTGCAGCTAATGGACCAGATACCAGGAGTTCCCTAGAGACAGCTATGAGCAGGAGACGCAGACAGACGGCAGATGACAGTCAAGAGCTCAAAGGCTTGACACATGCTGTGAACAGCGCTAAGAAATGGCATGTCATTTGGTGTTAGAATGAGCTACCCAGGAAAGGGGAGACACGCTCAGGAGGCCATATGCCAGGATGTCTCTAGAGCTAGAAACAGCATGTGCAAAGGGCCTGGGGCCAGAGCAGCTGGACATGATGGAGGAGAGGCCCCAACAGCTGAGTGTGGTGAGTGGAGGGGAAGAGGCCAGATCTGACCACACGGAGGCCTCAAGAGCAAGAGTTGGAGTAAGGATGTGGGCTTTAACCCTCCACCCGACTAAAGTAATTCTTCTCTCTAAAGTCATCATGTGTTCAGAACCTCTCAGAGGATCCTGAACATGGAGGACCCAAAAAAAATCACAGTAAGACATTTCAACAAAAGTCTAGTGCCTCTTTAGAATTAGAATTCTAAAGCCAATGGCGTTTCTCTATCAAACATGAGTCTGCTAGGAGATATACATAAGAGGAAAGACCCTATGTCTGCTAACAGCCAGACAACTACCTTAGAGTCAGCAGCATAAGAAATGTTCAAAGTCCATGAAGAAGAAACTCTTGTGCTCCTGATGATGCTAAGGTACTTCAAAGACCTAGCACATTCTCAGGTGGGGAGGTGGGAAACACATGTCATGTTTATTTATGTTTATTTGCAGTCCTCAGAAAAAAGGAATAGAATTTTTGAAAGTTGGCAATGATTTGAAAATTCAATTGTAAACTAACAAGTAAAAATTACACCAGAAAATTCTGAAAAATGGAAACTCCATGTCAGATATTACATGGTAGAGTACTATCACAAATAAAACAGATACTGACGAGAAGACTTAACTCAGTGAAGCAAACTGCGAGGCCTAGAGATGGCTCCAAAGGCCTGGGCAGGTCCATACACAGTGACACTGAGTCTCAAACCAAGGGGTAGACATCTGGGGTCATCAATGGGGTTGGCAGAGCGGGGTCCCACAGAAAAAAGCCGAGTGGAAAAAGCCTTTCAGTAAAATTAAGTCTGTTTGAATCAAATATTTATTCTCTAAGATTAAGCAGTAAAAGCAGTTGATGAAAGTCATAGCTTAAGTAATGTCTTAAAAAAGACCGGGGACCCTCCCTGGTGGTGTAGTGGGTTAAAGCACAAAACTGTAAAGCTCTCCACAGCCACTGCAACACAAGTTCTATCCCCAGCCAGGGAGCTTACCCACATGGCGCGGCAGACCTCTCCTGACCCTCCCGCTGCTCCCCTCTGCAGTGTGCTTCATCAATCTGCCTGTTCTGCTCCCCACTCTGTCTCTGGTGAGTCCTCTCACCTCCCCAGCACCTCTGGCCTGTACCCCAGTTCTGTACGCATGAATAAATAAATATTTCTTAATAACGTGTACAATTATGTCTTTTTAAAAAATCACGGCAACCTGGGAAATGCCACCTGGGCGGAAGGCGGCAGCCAAGTGTTGTGTGATCCCGTTTAAATGAAAAGTCCAGAATGGCAGACCCACAGAGGCAGAAACTGGTCTTTCTACTTGCAGGAGGGGCTGGGGTGGAGGGGAAACGGGGAGTGGCTGCGGACGTGGACAGGGTGTATTTTGGGATATGAAAATGTTCTGAAATTAGGTAGCAGTGATGGTTGCTGACCTGTGAATACTCTAAAATTGTCTACTTCAAAAGGGTGAACTGTATGGTATGTGAATTAGACCTCAATAAAGCTGGTCTGGAAAAAAAAAATTAATCCTAGGGTACAGTAGGCCTGAGCATGCTAGAACCCCTGAAACCACATAAGAAAAGGTTGATCAATTTGAGAACATCAAAGTGACAAAATTTCCGTTGCAGAAGCCACCCTGAGCAGAGTCAACAGACAAATAATCTAGAAAAAAAAAAAAAAAAAAAGCCTTCAGCCACTGCCTTCAAGGCTAAATTCCCAGGCAGGTAAAGGCCCAGGGAAAAGGTCAACTGGCATTCAGCGAAAGGTGGCCCAGGCACAAGGGCAAGTTCAGAGAAGAAATCGCGAGTGTTCTCTGACACGTCACGGGAAACTCCGCTGCAGTCGAGACAGAAAGTGCCGGGTGGCAGTGCCACGGGACTCGTGTCCGCGGGGAGAAAGTCCTGGGCGCCACCACGCGCGAGGCCCTCGACGCAGGCCGCTGGGAAGCTTGGCAGACCTCTCCAAGGTCTCCGTCTCGCAGCCTGACCTCGTGCTTCACTTTCTAGGAATCCAGGTTTCCAGCAAACGCCACTTGACAAAAGGAGGCATCTGTGAGCCGGCTCGCCGGCCCGGCGGTCTCGGCGGGGACACTACACCTGCCCGTGCGCGCCGGAGGAGCCGTGACGCAGTGTCCAGCAGGCTCCGCCTCTCCCCGGGGGCACCCACGCCTGGAAACCCGGGCGCGGGACCCCTCTCGCTGCTGCTCTCCAGACCCTATCCACCCACTCCTGTGTGCAGGCGGCCGAATTACCCCAATGCACGAGCACGGTGGAGGTGACTGATAAAAGGGCCCGCCCCGGCACCTCCACGCACCTCCAAGGCACAGCGCCCTGACGGCTGTGACCCGGAAGGCGCGAGAAGCAGTGTAGGGCGCTCAGGAAGTCACGGCGCACACCCCGATGTGCGTTCACATCCAGAACCCGCAGATCCCAGACAGAAACCGGGCCCATGAGGGCGGGGCGTCCTGCGAGGGGAGCACAGCTCTAATAGTGACTGTGGTCCCAGGAAGGGCCCGCACGCCTCTCAAGACCAAACTTCGGGTCGAGTGGATGGCGGGCGCGGGGCTTACAGCTCCGTAACGCTGTTTTTTAATAAGCAGTTAGAGAAGAGTGTAAAGCCCTGGGGGAAACATGAAGAGAAGCAGGAAGGGAAGGGACGAGGTTCCAGAGTGCTGCCCCGCCCGGAGCCCTGCGCCCCGCGGCCGGCCACACCCGGGCTGTGCTCTTGCCCCGTGGGGCCGGCCGGGCTCTGCGGGGCTCACAGCCCCTCTCCTCGCGGCCAGCAATGGCAGCCCCCTTTTGGACACTCAGAAGGCAGGGGACACCCAGCCTCTCCGTGGTGGCCGGTGCCCTCAGGCCCCTCGGAGCAGAGATGCTGGTAATGCAAAGGAAAGGAAGCACCCCAATCTCCTGCCCTGCTAGCTCACCCTCCAGGCCCTCCCTTCTCCCTGCCTCTCTCCACCTCCTCCCTCCTACCCCATCTGTACCCCACCACCTCACCTCCTGCTTCCCCCACCACACCCCACCTTTTCCCTGCTCCCTATACAGCCACTGCTGGCACCAGCTCCCTGGTCTCTGTAAACTTTCTCATGGGTGCTCTTGGGTGAAAGGGGGGTTTCCTACCACACCTGCCACAGGGGTCCCACTCCCTCCTGCCTCACAGGGCTGGCCTGTGAGCCCCCATCGTGCCGCCAAGGGGTGCCTCCAAGACTTTCCTGACCAGTGAGTCTGGCTGCTCCCGACAACAGCGGAGTGACAGTTGGGTGCGCAGGTGGCTCGTCACATGCAGATCCCAACCCAGCGGGGAGCCTCCGGCTGCCATTCCTAATAGGCCCCCTGCGAGTGGCCCCCGGGGTGGCCACCGGCCTCCCTAGGCCCTTGCATCGCCATCGCGGGGCTTTGCTGCTGGCTTCTGGCCCAGCCTGCCCACCTGCACAGCCCCATGGGGCAGGACATGCTGACTCCTTTGCTCTCCTCGCCCACCTGGACACTCCACAGCGACATCCCTGTTTGGAGTGCTCTCTCCAGCCTGTGCCCTGGTCCACTCCCCTCTGGTCAGGAGGTGGGGCCAGCCTGCCACCCAGCCTGAGCCATCACCCCCTGCCCATTGGCGCACTAGCTGTGTGCCTGCTTCCCGTGCCCTCCCTCTGGCACTCTCCGGCCAGCAACCCCACCGGCTCTCCTGAGACAGGTGCCGCATGGATACGGGTGAGACGGGTGATGGACAAAAACAATGGAAGGATAGCGGCAGAGGGGTGCAAGAATGGAGGGAGGGTAGGAGGGTGGGCTGATGGAGGGAAGGGCAGATGGATAAGCCAGTGGGCAGATAAATGAGGGCTTGACCTCTGTGACCTTTGGCTTCTCACAAGGATTTGCAATAAAACCCTAAGACTGAGAGGGCCCGTGATCCTGCACAGCTGCTCCATGAGTGGCCCCTGGACGCAGGGTGTGGGAGACGGGGCCGAAGCCCCAGGCACTGCCAGCGCGCAGGTGCGCAGCCCCTCCGTGGTCCTCCCCTTGCTATGGCTCTGCAGCTTCCCAGGAGGGAGTCAGGAGTCAGCCTGAGGATGGGGTGCAGAAGGTTGGGCACAGGAGGGGCTGAGGTCCTGCCAGCTGGCCCTGGGCCACCTCCCGCCAGGGCCCCACCGGCCAAAACCCCTGTGGAGCAGTGCTGGCCCTCAGAGTCGGGAGTCCGCCCACCAGAGTGAAGGGACCGTCAAGGTGCCTGCCACCCAGAAGGGCAAGAGTTCGTCCCACCCTGCCCCTCCACCCACCCCGCCACAGTACCTCCACTTGGGCCTCTTCCCAGGCATCCAGGCGGACGGACTTCACCTTGCTGACCTGGGGGATGTTCCGGTGGATTCCGGAGCAGGTCAGGCAGATGAACACTCCCAGGGTATACGAGGCCCAGTCAGGATCTGGAAGGCAAAGATCAGACACCCGTGGAGCACTAACCCAGGGGTCACCCCAGAGGGAGACAGCACTGGACAGGAAAGCCCCAACCCCACAGGGGCCTCTCTCTGGCCTTGGTCTCCCCATCTGTGCAACAGGAGTCTAGGCCACTCTGAGGACCTTAAGCCTGCAGTGACCAGCTCCACCCCATCATCCTGGCTAGCCCAGGGCTGGGGGTCCCCTCGGGCACCCCGAGGGAACAAGTAGAGGCGCTGAGTATGCGTCGGACGTCTGAGTATGAGTATGCGCCAGGCGCTAAATGCCAGCCCCCAGGGTCGATTCTGTCCCATGTGGCGAGAACACGATTAGGGGTGATTCGTCCTGGTGGTTTCACTTGAAAAGAGGCAACAAAAACCCCTGCGTGCTTGCAGAGGAGGCAACGCGACAAGGCACTTACAGTCTAAAGGGGACGTCGGGTTTGAAGCGTTCCGCGTCGAGGAGGCTAGAGATTGTTAAACTGAGGCAGTGGGCAAGGGGGCACCCAGGTATTTTCCTCCCAGTTTCATCAGTTCCAAGGTGACGAGCGAGGAAGGGGACTGGAGCTGTGGGAGAAGGCCCAGGGAGCAGCGTCTCCTGGCCAGGGGCGAGCCATCTCTGGAAGACTGCACCTCAGGGAGAGGTTTCCTGGTCTGGCTGCCCCATCAGTCCAGCTGAGGAGAGTTCTCTGGGAGCCCCAGGGGGCCTGGGGTGTGCCCACCCCCAAGACACAAACCAACCGATAGCTCCCCCATTCAACTAAAAGCACAGTGTTGAACCCCCTCAAGTCACTGCAGCCCAAAGGGCCCAGCAGTCCTCAGACCCTGGGCTCTCTGTCAGCTGAGTGGATGCCCCAGTCTGCAGTCTGGACAGACACTTTCCTCTGTGGCAAGACAGAACCAGTGGGCGACTGTGTCCCAGTGCGGCCGGCTGGGGCCAGCCCCATGCCCTCCTGAGAACAGAGCCTGCCCCTCCCCAGAGAGGGCACCCCAGTGCCAGGCACCCCAGCGCCCCTCCTCAGAAGCGAAATGCCTGGGCCACGGTGAGTGTGTACACGGGAGTGTGCGTGTGAGTCTGGGGTCTGGGTGCGCAAGTGTGCACGCAATGTGCCCGCGTGCGTGTGTGTGAGGGTGTGGCGTCTGGAGGTTTGTAGAGGCACGCGCACGGGCTGTGGGGTGCATGGTGAGCGTGCAGGGTACACATGAGTGTGTTTAGGACTTGCCTGTATGAGGGTGCACACGAAGACAGGCCGTGCCTATGTGTGTAAAGGGCCTGTGTGTGTTGGAAGGCTGCGCGTGTCGGAGGGTACATGTGGGAGTTGTGTATATGGGTGTGTGCGGGCAGGGACATGCACATGTGTGTATCGGGGCACGCAGGTACGAGTGCATATACGTGGGTGTGTGGGCCTGTAGTGGGGGCAGGCACCCCTGGTCCCTCAGTTCAGGATCCTCCAGCCCTGAACCCAGGGGCTGGGGGTGGCCTTGCTCCCGCTCCCTGACTGGCAGCCACCCCAGGGCGCCCAGCCACACCCGTGTGCCGAGGTGTGTGGTTCTACAGATGGCTCCTCACATTCCACCCTAACACTGTTCCATCTCCATGGCAACTGCAGGGACCAGTGACGCGCTAGAGGAGGAAGCAGAGACATGGCTTCGAAGAGGCGCACAGAATGGAGAAGTTTGAGGAGAAAAACAGCCATGTCATTCCCCAGGGTCCTGAGCCCTGCCTCGGGCAGACCCTGTGGCGGGACTGTGGGCCTCTAAGCCCCACCTCCTGCAGCGGATGGCCATGGGGGGGGCGCTCATGCTGGCCATTTATGGAGACTGGCTGGTGGGTCTGGGTTAGTGGGGGAGAGGAGTGTACCCCCCCCCAAGGGATAAGCTACTGGCCAAGGGATAGGGAGGCTGGTCCTTGAGGTCATCAGGAGGCCCGTCTCAGGCTCCTCTCTGCACCAGCTTGTCTGACATCAGTGGCTCCCAACCACAGCCAGGGAGGGCGGCAGCCAGCACAAACCCTGAGGCCTCAGAGCTTGGTTCTGGGGGGCCTTTCCTAACTCAGAAGAGCTGTGAGCGAAGGGGCCCACCATAGCATGAGTTCATCTGGTTTCCTCACTGTCCCCCACACCCAAATTCTGCCCGCCCACAAGGCCACTGGCCCAGAAGCCAGGCAGGACCTTCAATACACATAAAACACTTTCTGTTTGGAGCTAGTTGGGCTTCTCACCACTCCTCTGCCTGAGGGGCACTTCCCACCATGGCATCAGCCCATGTACCTCTCTACCCTCACTTGGGACCCCCCCAGGCACCCCGATCACAAGGCCCCTCTTGCCGGCCGCTGTCACCGTGCCACCCCAAGGCACACGCCCTCACACTCGCTGTGTGCCGGGTGTCCGTGCGCGGTGCCCAGACAGCTGCACCGCCCCCCCCCAACCTCTTCTTCAAGGTCCCTCCCCACCCTGGGGGCTGCTTGAGGAACAACGAAGGGACAGCCGGTCCCTCCACCCCCCCCATCCTGAAGGCACTTTGACCCATGGGCTTGGCCGTGGCCAGAAGTCAGGACTCTGACACACTGGGGCTAAGGGAAGGCAAAGCCTGGGTTTGTGGGGCCCGGGAGGGTGGGCTGCAGGGGAGCTCGGAGGTGAAGACAACACACCCGCTCTGAGCCTCCCTGGGGCAGGGGCAGAAGGACACTGGGGCAGAGCCACAGCCAAAATCCAGTCCGGGCTTCCAGCAGGATGAGGACAGAGAACCCCCCACGGCGACCAAGTTTTGACCCACAGCTTGGAAAACACGTGAAGGGCAAGCAGAGTGCCACAGGCCTGCAGGCCCCGAGCTGTCTGCCAGGGCTCCCTGCTCGGAGCGCTTGCCTGGGCTGCTGGCGCCATTCTCAAGCTCTTGGCTGCTGCAAAGGGTGCACCAAGGTGCCCACCTCAGTGGTTCCCGGCCCTGCAGGGCCCCTCGGTGGGCCCAGCCCCATGCCGGCCACGCACAGCCTCAACTGGCCACTCCAGGCCGCGCGGGATGCCGGCGGACGTCCAGCCTCCGTGGGGTCAGGAACCTGTTCCTTTGCAAAAGGACATTTCTGTACAGAAAGCCAGTAGGCCCCAGAAGCCAGGGATGGGACGATGGGCACACGGGCCACAGACAGCTGCCAGCAGGCACAGCTCAGGCCACGCGGCTCACCCTGGCGAGCCGGTCCAGTGAACGTGGGACGCGGCTCCACCCCCGCCGCACCCGCCATGCACAGACCCCTGCAGTGGTGCTCCCAGGGAGGAGGGGCCGTCCGGCGGGGTGGACTGGCCAGGCTGGAGGGGACGAACGTGCGGCTGGGGCTCCGACTGCAGGTCTCTGTGGACAGCCGCGGGGGATGGGGAAGTGGATGTTCTCCCAGAGCCAGCAGTAGAAGCGTGGCTCTCTGTGGCTGCTGGTGCTGGAAGGACTGGCCCACCCTCATCCTGAGCTGCCTCAGACCCTGCTTACTCACAGGAGGGCCACACCCAAGCCCTCCTCTCCAGAGCTGAGCATACCCACAAGCCAAACGGGTTTCTGTACAGAAAGCCAGAAGGCCCAGAAACAAGGAAAGGGAGATGGCACACGGGCCACAGCCTCCCTAGCTTCTCATGTCCTGCGGTGAGCTGTGACCTGCTCTGTGCCCAGCTTATCCCCCGTAAGGTGGACGCTGAGATGCCCAATACGCACGAAGTGCGCAGAACAGCACTGAATTCACAGGGGTGTCACCGGGTGACCTCATGTCTTGCCCACTGCAAGGGGCTTCACAAATGCTATAGGTGGAAGGATGGAATGCAGCCCAGGGCCACCCCCGGTCAGCCAGCTGGGCCCACATCCACCTGCTCTCAGAAGTCACTGTCCACACACCACACGCCAGAAATGCCATCCTGGGCCCATGCCCTTGGGTCTTGGAAAGCTTCTCAATCAAGAACTCTGACTTTCAAGGCATCTATTGCTCAGGGTCATCTCCTTCCAGGGCTCCATGTTTGCTCCTGCCCCAGCCCCCACCGACAGCAGGCTGCTCAGCACCCTTTCTGAATTGGGGTGATACAGTCCCTGCGGCCAAGGACAGACCCTCCAGGTGCCCCTCCTGCTGCCCCTTCTCCCCACCCCCACCAGCTCCCCTGGGGTTGTCACTGCTCTCCATCTGCCCTGCCTTCTGCCAGGGCGCTCTGAGGTGACTCAGCCTCTCACCATTTCCGGAAGAGGGAGAGGGACCGAGCCACGGGGCAGGTGAGGCACAGGTTGGGGCTAAGCCAGCCGGCCAGGGCGTGCCCAGGGCCAAAGTCCAGTGGAGGGGACCGCAATAGAACTGCAGGTCTGGCAGAACACCGTGGCCCTCTGCCCCGCCCCAGGCTGAGGCCCGGCAGTGAGCAGGGCTGAGATCCTGGGGTGACAGCCAGTCTGCCGGCTCCCGGCCGAGGCAGATGGAGAGCTATGGTGGGGCGTGGGGAGTGCGGCGCAGGCGTAGGGTTCAAAGGAATGACTTAGCCCAAAGGTCACCTTTCCCCAGGCACTGCACCACCCCACCCTGCGGTCCAGGTGGGGTGCCCCTGCTCTTTCTCCTTCCGCTCCATCATCGCTGCCCAGCAAAACAGCAGGTGTTCACTGGCCTGTGTGTTCTGCCTCCCTCTGGAAGCTCCGCTCCAGTTTGCTTCTGTGCACGGGGGATTCCCGTCAGTAGAGACATGGGGGGCCCAAAGACTGAGGCATGAACATTCACCTCTCCCCACCTGCCTCCCCTGCAGCAGGGTCCCTTGTTCCCACCCACCAAGAGCACATGCCTCGGCCCTACGCTGCTTGCCCTCCTGACCTCCTATGTGGGCCAGGGCCTCTTCCAGCACATTCCTTCCTCTCTCCCTCACTTTCAGTGGCCCTCTCCTGGGTCATTCCCCTCAGTAGCCACTCATGCTGCGAGATGTCCAAGTCCCTCTCTGGACTCCTTTCAGGTAACTTTCCAGGCAGCCTCCAGGGATTTGCCCG